TCTTTATGTAGTTACGGGTGGATGATGACGGGTGGATTAGGAAGGAACAATTTCCAAGTTGCCATCTCTGTAATCCTCAACAAGTTTGTATGAGTACACAGCTTCATCGTCATCATATGTGATGTTGAACCAGTGAGGAAACCCAGGAACCTGACTAATGACTTTACCCGTGAACATCTGTCTCCCCCCATCCTCAGAAGCAAAGTAGTGGCTGACAGTTTTACCGACTAGCAATGGAATTGTTACATTCTTGTCATCACGTGTGGTTGTTTGGACTGACTCCCCATCGGCTAAAGAAGTTGCTGCATCAATAAACAAAAACAAATGATCCCTCAAGGCTGTCCAAGGCTTTGGTTTTCCTCCATCAGTGAAAGTGAACTGCTTATCCCCATTCACAAATTGGTGCAGAACTTCCCGGCGAAACCTAATCTGATTTTTACATGCAGTGTATCGCTCTTTGTCACTTTTGCACTGATTCATTTTTTGCATTGCTGTGTTCCTTGATTGCCATAACCCTGCATCAACAATTACGCATGTCAAGTCTTCCTTCCGCTTTTGTTTCAGTTGCCGACTCCTTTCCATGTGGTTTTTCTTCTCTTGTTGTTTTTTCACAAGTTCTTCATTGCGCAGTTTTTCTCTCTCTTTAATCTTTCGGTGCAGCTCTTTAGTTGGGCTACCCATAGCACTGTTAACTAATTTTTGTCTATCTTGTTCTGGCAAAGAAGCAATATACTCATAAGTTTTGTTAAAAACAAACATAACTTGTGCTTCGTTAGTAACTGCTGATGCATTGGGGCGTCTACTAATCAAGTAACCTAAATAACCAAAGATTCTTTCTGGAAACTTGTTGTGCTTGGGAGTTGATTCTGTTTGCTTATGAAAGTTCCTGCTTTTCTTTACTTTACTGAATTTTCCTCCTGGCAGATAGTCAGACGTTACCCTCAATATCAATTGTTGCAAAGCTATTAAGGTGTGCTGCATCATACTTAAGGCAATGTCATCATGTATCCACTGTTGTCTCAGAGAATTAAACACTTCATCTTTACTGATCAAGTCATCATCAAAGCATGAAATATCACAGTTGAGAAACTCATTAAGTTGTACATCTGATGTGGTGGTTTCTTGAAGGAATTTATGAAGATTAGTGTATACATCACACATGTCAAGTATATGGCCAGTTTTCTCTGNGATCTGCGCAGTAGACCGTTGCGGTCCCTACAAATAGAGATAAAAACCCAGTGATGAAGATGATTCAACAACCATTGGTATATTTTGCCGCTCTAAATTACTGCTGCTAGGAAAGATCCCATTTCTGGTGTAAACACACGCCCCATATTTCTTTCTTCCAAATTCAAAGACATAGTACAGGTACATAACGAAGATATGTAAGCTACCATACATAGGCCTAGAACTCTTGGGGGAAATGGGGCAGCATTTCTACGAGTATGCTGCCCTAGACGTTAGTCACAATGCAACGTCTTCCAACCTGGGCTAGGCCTAGTACTTTAGTAGGGGTATACACTGACCCTCATTTTGAAGAGCATCTCGTGCTCTGGCATTTCTGGTACTACTACTAGCCTATGTAAAACCTAGGGCCTACTAATAAATAATAGTATTAAGTCTACATTTGATCTTTTGATTCCCTTCAATGGTAATCTTGCCATGACTTGCAGTTCTGCAGCCCGGCAGGTCATGCTTGAAGTTACATGTACCTAGGCCTACACCCAGTCATGTTACTTGTTAGTACTAGTAAGTAGTAGGCCTAGCCGGGTAGCCCAGCCTGGATGCGCCGGCCACATGGCGGCTACCGACTGGCATGACCAGATGACTGGTTTGACAACTTTCAAATATCATTCCGGAAGAGGACAAGAAAAACATGTTACCATGCGTGGTTTCTTTGCATCTGTCATTGTGGAAAACGTTCCTTCAACTGTAGACTGCAGAAACAAAATTGACTGGAATGCCTCAGAACCCTCGCCAGAAGTAGCAAATGTGGCCGGATAGCAGTACACGGGTGTCTCAAGGACTGCGTGCAGCTTCAGAAAGATCGATATTTAAAATAGCACGCTCTAATATCGTCCTCACTGTGAATACTTGTACATCGACAACAATTCATTTGGGACAATACCCTGGGAAAGAGAAGCAGGCTGTTGCCCGCGCTCACAATGCACATGACCTACCGTTCTACGATGTCTTTTAAGGGTCGTTTATTCGGGTTATTTGGAGAATCTATCAGTCGGAAACTTGTTAGTCTTGGTTCCAAGACACTTCAGTTGTTCCATGATGTCACCGCGAACCATCACGTACTGTACATGTACTGTACATGTACATACACACATGTACCTGTACGTGTAGAGTACATGTACATGTACAGGGCGCTATCACCTCACGAATCGTTATCATGAGGTCTTGGATATTTGTGAGGTCTCAGGCGGCAACAGATATGATAATAAAGGTATAGGATATGCATTATTCATATGACGTGACTTATGACCGGCAGAAGTTACGCAAATGACTTTAAACATCTGGGCCGTTTTCCAATACTCGAAGGCTTCGTCTCCGTCTCAGGCTTCGTTCCCAAAACCAATCCCCGATTGTGGGCCTGAAGCGTTTATGTTACAATGGATTACTGTAATTTGGCTTTCTTGCATCTTATTTGATGTTCTGTGGCGTCATCAGACTGATTACTGCGCTTACAACTTCAAAGTCAGGTAGTAAAAAAAAGTTAAAGCCTCTGACGGAGCCGAGTTGAGTATTGGAAAACTGCCCTGGATCTGGATGCGTGTGTATTCCAATAAAGCAGATACAGATGTACATGTAGACTGCATCACATTAGGGTGTTGGTGACCTGACCAGTTAGTTGTTGGAGTGACTGGGTTTACTGTGGGTTGTTAACTTAAAAATGGCTAAAATTGAAGCTACAACAGTCCAATAAAATGTGAGGAATGTCGTTCCATACTTTTGGGTCCAGGGGAAAAAGCACAAGTCATAAGCGTGGGTCCTAGTCAGTTCCCGTTGATATATGAGACCAAGTGCATACTTTTGAGAAGTTGAGGTTTTGCTGAGGTGATCTTGCCAGTTTATGTCGACCAGATGCAAAGAATGTTTGTACATCCTAATAAGACGCGTAAAAGTGCGTCTCCGGGGTTCAAGGCTGGTCCTGGCACTTTAACCCTTCAAGCACGTTGGTAACGCTCGATTCTCTGGAATAGTCATTCATGCACATTCTTGCAGTAGATCTCTGGATCATATCAAGTCTGGGTGTATCTTGCTTTGGTGATGGGATGCCAAGCCGCAGAGCAATACTCACGTCTTGGTTGCTCAAGAGAAAGGTACAATTTGGACTTGATGATATCCTAGGTACAAGATCTAAAATTCCTACGGATGACCCCCAGAATCTTTTTAGCTGTTTGTAAAATCATGTATGTGTTTACTCCATTTCAAATCAGAGCTGGAATGTGGTGCCCAGTTAGGAGTGTGAATCAACTGAGCTAATAAGTGTTACCACGTAATCTGTGGTGTTGTAAGTTATGGGTGATTTTTTGCTAGTGAAGTGCATGGTATAACACTTGTCAGTATTAAAGGTCACTCTGCCAGGTTGCGCCCCATTCTGAAAGGGCATCAAGATCTTTCTGAAAATGCAATCTATCATTACTGTTGATTTCTCTGTACACTAGGGCGTCATCAGCAAAAAGACGAGTTTTAGTCTCCAGGGATACTCAGTCAGGCATGTTGTCAATACATGTATAAAACAAAAAAAAAAACAAAGTGGGCCGACAACAGTACCCTTTGGCACACTTGAAGTAACCTCAAGGGACACTTTCCCGTCCGAAACAACGCTCAGTTTACGTTGAGTGAGGAACTTAACCAACCAAGGATGTGTCCTGTAATACCATAGTGTTTTAACTTCAGCCACAGACAAGTATGGGAAACTCTTGTCGAAGACTTTGAAAAACCGAGTAGCATCAACCTGCTTGTTGTTATCCAGGGATGAGGCCAAGTCTGATGTTGTTTAGACGAATTGAGCGTCGCATCCTCTTCTCTTCCGAAAGTCATGCTGAGAATTATGAAGTATATTGTGATGGTCAAGGTGATCCATAATGTGACTGGCTGAGATGTGCTCCATAAGCTTGCAACATATCGAAGTGAGTGAGATGGGTCTATAATTATTAGGAGAACTTTTTGAGCCTTTTTTATGGATGCTTCTTGTTCAAAAACTACGTTTTCTTACTTAAACATAGGCCAACATCAGAGTAAAATGTGTTTTTACGGGTGCTCATAGCTAAGCACTAGCCAAATATCCTTCTGTAGCCCGGAGCAGCAGCCAAAAAGTTGCCATGAGCGCATATAACAAAAGAAATTTAGCTATATTTTCAATTTTTGCCATGTCGCACCACGGTACGGTCACGATGTATGATGTCCCTGCTCGCTTTAGCGCTGCGAATTTGGTCTATTTTTCCCCCAAACCTGGAAATTTACAGAGTAAATGATCAACGAAAAGATGAATATGGAAAGTTGTTATAAAAATCTTTTGACGTATCTTAAAGGCATGTTACAACCACATAAAGATACATTTTCTCTGGACATTTTCGGACAGCGAGGTCGGGTCCGGGGACTTTTTTTTTATTCTCGGTTGAGAGAGGTCATGAACCTATATGAATAATTCATATAGGCTGAAACAAAGCTGTTGATTGGCTCCCTCGGAAAGTCGAGGGAAAACCAATGAAAACATAAGAAATGAAAACAAAAATGGCCAAAAGCTTGCTGCGATAACGATTCGTGTGGTGATAGCGCCCTCTCTCAGTGTAGGCGTGCGATTCGTCTCGCCGAATAACGACTGGAAGGTCTTGGAACCAAGACTAGGAACTTGGCTGTCCGAAGCCCGATGTTTTTAAAACCTGTGATGCAAGTAAAGACATCTCTTATCCCATTATGTGAAGCTTTAACTCGATATGAGTCTGTGGAAAGGTATACATTTTTGGCTGACTTATCGCGGAAAAACGGGGCACTGTGCGAGAATAATTGACATTCGATTTTTACAAATTTGGTGTCAAATGGCGACAAAGAGTCACTTTCATGTATAAAAAGTTCAACGGGTCGGCTCATATATGAAAAAAAAGCACTGCGACGATATCGGATAAAATGTCTAAGGGCAGATTCTGCCCCCGGCTTTTTTAAAGTTAAGCCATTCAGCCCAAAACGTCACAGTTTTTCCTTCGAAGGAAAACTGCATTTAATCGGACTCTGCATAATTATTTCCTGGCTGTGGCAATTATAATTTTACGGCATGATATTCAACAGCTCCGAGTCCACGTACCAAACCGTTAGACTGGTCGTCCACTGATGCTCTGACAGCAGATTTCACGGTTAGGACTCCTTTCTTGTCATGTGTCGTCTCATCCCCTCATTGTTCCCGTGAACAATAATTTTATTTTTGATTGAAGCACTAAAAAGGGAAATAATGTTACCTGGCAAGGTTCCCTGGGTGAGGGTTCCCCGATTTCTGGCCGGGGGGAGCGGCATAATTCCTGAGTCCTAATATGGGGGCGCTCCATTTTGCTTCAGCTCCTCCGAGCGGTTGTGGCACTTAAACGGGCATCCGATCCTGGCGGATGGGGTAAATTTACCCCTCTCCTACTTTTTACCGGGGTGGGCTATTGGATCGTCCACTTATTCACTTTTTCATGGTGAAAAACTTCCAGATATTGAAGTATTTCTCGAACTTCCCAACAACCAAAATGTATTCAATGGCACGTACCGAAAAGGGAGAAAAAGTGCAAAAGATGTAAGTAATGTCGTTTTGATGATGAGAGGAGTACATCTGTATTACGAACAGCGTCACCTAGTGTCATGTAGTGTCCTGCGATCCCTGCCCCAGCTTTGGAATTTTGTAGGTCGGGCAATTCTATCCCCAGTCCCCAGCACATACTTACAACACTAATCCGCTGAGGCCCCTAAAACGCAATGGTAGGCCTCGGGGGAGGAGGTCTGTTTTGTAAGTGGAGATAGCTGATGACTACCACTTAGAACAAAAGGTTGACTTCACCACTCGAACCGATCCAGTCTGTGGTGCTGGGAATGTCCTAGCCCTGTTGTTTACAACTAGACCACACGCAGTTAGTAACGTTCATGCGGTTTCTGGGTTGAGTGATCATGAAATTATTCTTGCTGATATCGTCATCAAATCTGTTCCTACTAGAAAACCACCGAGGAGTATCTTGAAGTGGAAAAATAAAGTTTAAATCTATTCGCAGATACGTAGACCGTGAACTTGGTAAAGCTCATCGTGCCCATGTGGAAGCTATGACATCTACTGATGGCCCCAAGAAGTTCTGGCAATATGTCAAATCCCAACGCAGGCATAATAGTGGTGTTCAGGCACTTAAGGTCCGGGGTGTTGATATAATCAGTGACAAGGAGAAAGCTGAGGCCCTAGCAAATCAATTTAGTAGCATCTTCACTAGAGATGAGGCGTCGCAGCTGCCATGCCCGATAGTAGTTATCCAGATATGCCTGACATTGAGGTGTCTGTGGAAGGCGCTCTGAAGCTGCTTAAATCTATGGATGCTTCCAAAGCAGCTGGGCCTGACCAAATACCAAATAGAGTCCTCATATGGGCTGCGCGTGAAATTGCCCCAGTCCTTGGATACGGGTGAACTGCCTGTAGATTGGAAAAGGGCCAACATAACTCCTTTGTTTAAAAAGGGTGCTGCATCTGACCCAGCAAATTGTAGACCGGTTTCTTTAACTTCAGCGTGTTGCAAATTATTGGAGCATATTGTTGACAGTCAGTTGATGGAACATCTAGATCAACATCAAATTTTAGTAGAAAATCAGCATGCCTTCCGTAGAGGGCGCTCATGTGAGAGTCAACTTATTCTGACTTTCAATGACCTTGCGTGCAATCACAATAATGGAAAACTTCATGTAGCAGTCTTGGACTTTTCAAAGGCTTTTGATGTAGTACCATACCAGAAACTCCTTCATTAGATCAATTATTATGGCATCAGAGGTAAAATAAATAATTCGATTACAGCGTTCTTAAAAAAATCGACTGCAGAGAGTTGTTGTCAACGGCGAATTGTCTAGCTGGCACAAAGTTGTCAGCGGGGTGCCACAGGGGAGTGTATTGGGACCACAACTGTTTCTTCTTTTTATAAATGGCATTCAATCCGTTGTGAGGGGAGAAATAAGACCATTTGCCGATGATTGTCTTATATACCATCAGACCAACTGCAAGGAAGATGAGGGATTTCTGCAAGTTGACCTTGATAATCTCAATACATGGGCTTCTACATGGGGTATGAAATTTAATGTTAGCAAATGTAAAATGATACGAGTTTCTCGTAAACGCAGCCCTGGTAAACCTTCTTATGAGATGGATGGCGTGCATCTTGAAGTAACGCAAGAGTTCAAGTACTTTGGAATACAAATTCCAAATTATTTAGGATGGGGAAATCAGACAAAATATGTTGTCACAAAAGCCACAGTTAAGAGTCCTCAATTCCACCAAAAGAAATTTCTCATGAGTTCTAAAAAGGTCAAGGAAATGTTATATCTTACACTTGTTCGACCACTACTAGAACATGGCGTGGCAGCATGGAACCCGTATAAAACCTGTCATCAGGAGGCAATTGAGAGAATTCAGCGCAGGGCAGCGCGCTTTGTTCTCTGATATTATGCTAGGAAGAGTATTGTCTCTAACATGTTATCGTCGCTTGGATGGAAGAAATTAACTGACAGAAGGGAAGCTCACCAGATAACCCAACTCTACAACATCATTACTCAAGCTATTGACACTGATACTTCTGACTGTCTTCAGCCAAAAGTGAAAAGATCCAGGAGGGGGAATAATAATCAATTCAGCACACCATCGACATTCTCATCTGTTTTCAAGAACTCTTTTTTCCCAAGGACCATCAAATTATGGAATGATCTGCCCCAACATTTTATTGATTCTGAGACGCATAAGACCTTCAGACAAAATTATTAAAACTACAAATTGACTAAGAATTAGACGCCGACCCTCCCCGTGACCTCCTAGTCAAGATCCCTAGAGGATGTTTCAGGAGGAAACTAACCAAGTACCAAGTAAGTACAATGGCCGATGGAATCTACTAATTTTCTGGACTATTTTTTGGCAACTCTTCCCCAAGACTCGATCCCCACGAGGGAGAGGGTGTACCCTTCCCCTTTACACCACAAGTATTTTTTCCAGTGTTTCAATCATCCTGCCGGACAAGTTTTGAGCTTCGTCATTTACCACAGTCGCTTAAGGCATCAACACCCGTTGCAAAATAATTGCATTAAAAAGAATGGCAAATGAGGTCGAAAAACTGGTTTGTTAGGGTGTTTGCTTCTATGTGTTAGGGTGTTTGTTTGTTTGTTTGTTTGTTTGTTTGTTTGTTTGTTTGTGGGGTTGCTTTGTTTGTTTTACTCTGACATAAGGTAGGAAGTGATTGACTTCTGATTTTTTCAGGACTTTCTGTTTTATTTGGTTTTACTGTATTTAAGGCTTTCAAAATAAAAGTAAGTTTAAGATCTGCAGTCATCTTTTCCTTGATTAACGTACGTACGCCCCTCTCTAAACTTACGTTAACATATTCTCAAGAACGGTCGCCCGGAAAAGTTTGTAGCAGATTTCAAGTGCCGACTGTATTTACTGTATGTCGGCTGTCCTTTCGGAGCGATCGAACTTGCCGCGACCCCGCTGCCACGTCACACGTGTACACGTATTGTAAGATTCTGTGGCTACGGATTCCATTACCATAGCCGTAACACTGGTATACGACTGGCTTTGCGTATAAACAGCATACTGCAGTGTACACGTATCCGAATCAGCGGCAGTGACCGGCTGGGGCTGGCCACGTACGGCTGAGTGCGAGGAAGGAACACAAGCACTGATGGCTTTCGCAGGTGCATGTGTATGTTCAGCCTCAGCCACAACTGTTAGACACGTCTACACGTGCGTTCAGTGCTAGTGTTGTATGTACATGTACATGTGTGTACGTGCACGATATTTCACATCAGTCATCGTCGTGCTTGTGTTTAACTTATGTTGTAATCTGGTGGTAATAACATGAGAATAGAAAAGTGTTATTTTTGTTCGTGTCCTGTATATCCAGGACATGGAATTCAGTTTGTAAGGAATGATAGCAAGGTAAGCAAGTGATTACTGACGTCGATCAAAAACATTTTTCCCCACAAACGTTACATTATTGACATTGATTGATGTAAGACTACTGCAAAATGTCGGAATTATGTGCACTTCACTACTTCCACAGTTGTAAAAGCGCACGGGGTTTAGCCACGCACATGTCGCATGTCTTCTGTTCCGGAAATGCCCGCTCTCATAACATAACTTGGCCGTATTTTGCCCCGAGACCATCGGATCGTCGGCACATAAATTTGAAATTGGACCACGCGTACACAATCGCAGTTTTTTGGGAAATTGGTAGGCCCAGGCCTAAGCCATAAGCCTTGTCCCGGCCTATCGCAAATAGAAAAAGGGGCAATGTTTGCTCCTTTTTCCTTCCCACAATGCCTTTCTACTATTGTGCAAAATCACCCATGCAGTATTTGCAATAAGGCTTAGGGCCTTTGTAAGCATGGTAAGCATGCTGAGACTATTGCTAAGTTCATGAAGTTAATCCGAGTGAGTTAGTCTGAGTTACAAATTGCCTTTTTGAATATTTGGACTTGGTTGGGCGATAGGAGAGTCCAAGTACCTTCCATACCCTTGCATTAATTCATTTCACTCAAAACAATTGCCTTTTTAATATTTGGACATGGTTGGGCTATATTAGTAGTTAGTAGATTCCAAATACCTTCCATGGGCTTTTCCATCCATTAATTCATTTCACTCACCGTATCAAAATCCTTAGAATTCACCTTCCAAACAGTCTTGAAATTGTCTAATACGCCCACTTCTGGATTCAGTGGGAATCAAAGATTTTAAGTGGTGGTAAGGTTTACTCACAGACGGGATGAAAAAAGACATTTTTTGCTGACGAGTTCGAAGTTGCCGTCTTCTTCATACATGCCAACACGATTCAGACGGTATGTTATTGTTAATGTCTCGGTGATGACATCACAATGCACTGGCTCACTGGGCAGGGCCCATGCAGACTAGGCATGCATGCAGTGTCTGCACACGGGTGCTGATGACTATTTCCTGAGTGTTGCAGTGTTCAGTAGCTGTCACCACATTGACTTGTACACTTTGTGTATGGCTTCGTCACTTTCTCCTTTACGTCTCGTCCAACATTAATGCAGTGACCTGTATTTTTATTATATCAGCCTCCCCAGTGCAGCTCCAAGTTTCTTTTTCCATCCATTGCAGGTTTTCCGATTCTGCCGGTCAAAATGTCACAAGGCTTTCAAGAAAAAGCGGAATCCGCGTAAAGTGCGCTGGACCAAGGCTTTCCGGAAGGCTGCTGGAAAAGAATTGGCCGTGGTAAGCCTCACCTTCATGGCCATGAGACAGTGTTCCACCCCAACTATAATTGGGACATAGTGCAAGATCGTGTGGCTGTAGTTGGCATCTTGTAAGGGCCAGTTCAGTATCACAAAACAGACAAGGTCATTTGAGATCAATGCGTCTGTGCCACGCCATTTTGCACATGTTCAGGACATACAGGAGCAAGTTAAACTGAGGTTTCCCTGTTTTCATTCGTAGTAAGTCCAAGGATACAGAAGTAGTCCAGGAACTAGCACATGCTTCAGCAATTTTTCTTTACCAAGATTGATTTCTTCAAAATGGACATCACACAAATATACACCTTACATGTAGACAACATCTTTTTTTAATCCAGTGTACATACGTGTGCTATATGCAAACACAAAACAACCACAGCAGCTTTTCCAAAATTTATTTGTCTGAGATGCTACATTTTTTTAACGTCTCTGGTATATATTTTGTTGTTGTCCTAAGGATAATTCATTGGAGTTTGAGAAGAGAAGAAATGTTCCTGTGAAATACAGTCGAGAGTTGTGGAAGAAGACAATCCTAGCCATGGCCAGAGTGGAAGAGATCAAGCAGAAGAGACAAGACCAATTCATTATCAACAGGTGCGTAGCGCTTAGCAGAGTCTGGTATATCTATCAGTCATCTGAAGCTGCTTGATGCAATTTTAATTCCACAAAGCATTGTTGGAGTGAGCACGGTTAGGGTTGACAGTAGTAAAGTATCGGCTTAATGGGGAGGTGTTGGCTTTGCATGTAAATTGTTTGAGGTTAGAAACTTTTAAGTTAAAATTCTATTTTGTGATCATTTTTAAGTTTGAGCCAACTCTTCAGCTGTACAATGCAGATTCTGAATATTGTTCACAGTGTTAGCAAAACGGAATGGGTTGGTCATTGGGAATGGTATTGAAATAAACTCATGAAAATGTGACTATTTAAAGTACATACTTAGTGCCACAAATGTTAATAAATGGCATAGATTTACAGATGCTCGGTGTACATGAGGTAAAACCGGAGAGGGAATGGCATGCATAAACGGTCAAAATTTCAGAACTTTGATTTCTTGGTAAAAGCTAAGGACAGTGAGTACATGAGTAATTTGTTCCATGTAAAGTTTCAAATGCGTAGACATAACAGGCTTATGTTGAAGGTGACTAATGCTGCAGAAGTAACCCAGTGCCCGTGCCCTGGCCAGTAAGGCCTCCCAAATCTAAATTTTGAGTTGGAATCTACTTACATGTAGAAACTCATGTGACCTTGGCATTACCAAAGCACAGGTCAAAATTTGGTGCACAAAAGCAAAGCTGTTGGTGGTCATTCTCTCTCTCTGTCCTCTTATTGCGCTGTGCCAGGCTGACTTTGTAAGAAACTAAATATTTATTTTTCCCCCTTTCGTCATTCTCCTCCAGACTGAAGAAGGGCAAGACGTTACGCAAGGAGCGAGACATCAAGGAGGTGAAGGAGAGCATCCATCTCATCAGGCCGCCTGCAGCAAGTAAGTTGGTTCATTCCCATGTCTTGAGGCGGGCAACCTGTCTCAAAAAATAACCAACCTAAACCTTCTCAGAGTCTTCAAAATCAGCCGAGTCGGATATTTGGAGCTTCAGCAGTTTCCGTGCTGCTGAGGGACTGTCCTTGGCAATTTTAAGCCCCTTCTAGTTAGAACAGTTGCCCAAGTAAATATGAATTCATAAGTTTGACGGATGGGGCTGGACCTCATAGGAGCACTAAATGTTTTCAACATCCCATTCTGTTCAGCATGTATCAATACGTATATAGATCAACTTAAAGGTGCACAATTGTACAAGATTTCTCCACAGACCTTGCAAAACGGCGAGAATGTATAATTTTGAGTGACAGTTACAAGTCATGGCTGATTGTCTTGCCCAAGAGCAAAATGATGCCCTTCCCCCAATCCTGATGCTGGCCCCCGCCCCCGGGCCCAGGTTAACCTAATTCTCAGTACCTCCTGGTTCTCTAGGCAAACTCACTTCCGAACTCCCCCACAAGATCACAGCCTCTTCCACAGTGATCTCTTTTCCACACACTTCCCCCCCCCCCCCACTGATCTTGATTCTCATTCACTTTTTTTTGCCCGGCAGACCTGCAGAAGAAAACAGAGGAGAGGTTGGCGCAGGTTATTCCCGACACGAATCCAGAGCAGATGGAGACAGCGGAATAAACCCTTCTCACACAGACCCGAGAATTTGTAAGAGACAAGTGCATTTGACCATGTTCACCACTTTAATACCACCAAGCAAGCAGTAACATGGTAACCAAATCACGATTTAAAATTGTTTGGGGGGGGTTCAACTTCAGGTGTTAAGTGATAGAATGGAGTGAAATATAATGTAAAGTCACAATTTCTGGGCAGTCTTTGGACACAATCGGCCATAGTCTATACTGGGAATATAATTGTTTCAACAGCATGCAGGCAGGATTATTGAACTGAGACTCACAGAAGGTAACATCAGTCAGACATCAGTCATCTGGACTGTTTGAATTGTTTTTTTTATTTCAGCTTATGGAGGACAGATGAAATTGAGACTTGTTCTTTTCTACACTTGCCTCCAGTTATGATCAATTTCACTTTAACAGTTTGTGAGATGAAAAATGAAATGATTCCAGCCTTAATTTAATTTACATTCTATTTGTGTTGTGATCAATGGGTAAAGATTAATTCCCTAGAGCAAGCAACCCGTGCTCTGTTATGAATACAGGGGCAGGAAGCATTCAAAATGGAACTGTATCAAGACTGAACACCCCAGTGTTTTTCTAGTTTAGTCTTGGGTTCTGAGGCATTAGTTTTATTGGTTGGGGCAATGAAAGTGTTTACTGCCCAGTCTGGTAGTGGACTGCGTGTTAGTGAGAAGCGACACGTAGATGTTGTTTGAGGTGATATATTTCTTAAACACGAATGCAATTTGTGCAGTTTTATCTGTTTATTGTAAAACAGGGGGCACTCATTGTTAATTCTTTCGTAAGGCAGCGTTGTAATGTTAGAATAAGTATGTCATCCGTGTTGAAACGAGGCGACTTGGAAAGGAAAGTTTATAATCCTGTGAGTGAGGCTTTCTAGAAAAAAAAACTCAATCAGGCTGGGATTCTGATGCTGTCCCTTTTGCTGTAACCTTTGTTTTCTTCCCCTAACCCTGAAAGAGCCGGGGGGGGTTGGAATCTGCCCCCTCAACATTTTCTGCCATATCATTGCAGTGCATGTTTTTTCACATGCCGAACCGTACCAAGTTTATTCACTAACGTTTTTTGGTGAAAGCAGAACGTGCACAACACCCGTTGAGCCGAGACAGGTCAGCCAAAGGTGTATAGTTTGTCCACTGACACAGTCGGTGCATGCATGCGAACGCACAGGTGGCTATGAACTTCAAATGACCACAACAATAAAGTCATTTGTCGGAGTGAGTTCAAACTAAACAGCCACACTGATGAGTGTCTTCACATGTGTTCAAAGCTCTTAGGGGGCTGAAGCCACTCCCCCCCCCCCGCACGGCTGTGAGGTTGTCCCAAAAATTTGCTTCTTTTAGGATTATAGAAGAGGGAGAGAAACCAAGAAAATGGTAACTTACTTCACTGACCTAACAGTCAACATTTGCATAACAGTGTAGAAGCGTTGTATATGGTTTCATTGCCTGGTGTCATTGGCCATTTTTTCTAAAGTAGAAATAATAACTACATGTACAAACATCAGTATTTGTTTACACATGTTACATTAAATCTCAAGACCCGTAACTCGTTGCTTTCTGTGGATTTTTTGTTTCATGAAGTACCTGCGAATTGCAGCCTAACCGTTTATGTAAGAGCGACTGGATTGGTCACTCAAACCCTCCGCTACGCTGAAGCTGAAGAGGCATATAAACGCAGGAAAAGTCTCCTCCTCCGCGGGAAAGGTGTTTTTGTTGTGGCAGAAAAAGATGAAATTGACAGTCGAAACGCATTGCCGAAGAACCTAAAGCCCTGTAAAACTTCGCCTGTCCTTCTTTTGTGGCCATAATTTATTATCGTTCCAGCAAACGACGTTAGTGTGACAACGGGCTTACGTGACGCGTCAACGGGCAATTTGAGTTGACTTGAATGCAGGGCAAGGCACGCGGATGACTTGGTAAATGGCCGAGTTGACCGACCCCCCCCCCCCGAATTATATGTACTTGGTTGCATCTGGATATAATCAGAGGTATATGGAGAGAGTTGCACCAGCTTTAGGTTTGGGAAACAGACTTACAGAGCGTGTATATACCGGTATACCAACTATCCAAGTACACTGGCGCATACACCTGCCAGTTTCTTTATAACAGTGGTGACACTTAGATCACAACTCCCTCTCTATTTGGCTTTGAATATAATGGATACAGACGCGGATAAAGAATGGACAGAAAAGCGAACAATAGCATGGAAAATTTGAGGCACCTTGTTCCTATAATATTCTTGACCGGAGCCTGCAGCTTGTCTGCAACCTGGCATCTGTATTAAAAGTACATAGACAAAGACCCGTGTTCGAATGACTTGGCTGCGGTTTGAATTACACACGACGGACAGCAGCCACTTCCCACAATGTCATATGTAATTCAATCCACAGCCTAATAGTTCGGACACGGACCAAGACTGTCGTGGGCCGCGACCGACTTGCTTGTCTGGTGTCTGCCGACTCTTGAAATTACATGTGAACATTAATATAGTTCTGGCCAGGTATGGGCATATAGCGTAGCGCCCTCATGGAGTGGATCCTTATTTAAATAATAAATGAATGAATAATAAAAATATGTATCAATCCTTGATAATTGATGAACGTTAAGATTTGACTCATTCTTTTATTTATTTTTTTCATTTGCCTTGTTACATACCATGTTAATGTGACATGTTTAGATGCTATGTGCTTCGCTGCATCGGCGTAATAATTGTTGTGGGACTGAGATTGTACCCGGCCAGTGTAAGGGCTCGCTCTATTCTGTGTCGAGAGACACGGGCGACTTTTATTCCCTCGTTATATTCATGAGGTTGCGTTCCGGTGTCCAGTTCCACAGTTTCCACACCTTGGCCCAGACCCCATTGCTCTGCTCATGGTTGGTGTTTATGTTGTCTCTCTGGCTGGCATACGAATAATGAATTATAGTTATTGGTGTTATGGTGAGAATAATTATTCATAAAGATCACGGATGATATTTCCATTCTATAAACCGAAGTCGAGTTCACAGTGGCATTTCATCCGTATGAAATCATTATTGAACCAATATAAACCATTTTGTTTTGCACAAAGCCTTATTTATAAATTTCTGTTTAAGAAATTCTTGCCTCACCCAAACACCTCCTGAATAAATCACTATAATACCTACGATCCACGAACGAGTTAAATTTCTTGCGATCGTGGATTAGAACGTTTTATTTACCATGGCCCCGAACGTTCTTTTTTCGTTGCACTGTCGCACTCTGCGTTGTTGGGACGAATGTTTCAATGCCACGTAATCGACGACCCACCAATCACGACGAAGATTTATTTGCGCGTTGCATGTGGGTAATTCCAGAAATTAGGGGTCCATTTTTTCGTGTCCCTGTCACATCTGACATATGACTTTGTAAGTTTAGAACAGAACACGTTTTCTAATTTCCAAGAGTGATGAATTAATGCAAATTACACGCCAAACAAATAGTAGAAGTTTGAAATCGATTCCGGTGATATTTCCATGTCAAATAACAAAGGTCAGATGTAACAGGGACACGAAAATGTCACGCTTTTGGACCCCTAATTTCTGGAATTACCCACATTCACACGATCAACACCAGGAAAAACGCGTCTTTCTTATGATGTATTCACAGCTTTCCTGTCTCGGTTTCGCAAGTTGTTGTGCAGCTGAACACTGCGATTGGGCGGCTGTAGTCCGCAGATACCCTGGACTTGTTCTTTACATTGAAAGAAAATGTTGCTCGTAAATCTGACTGCAGTACAAGAGTGACTGCGTATACTAAAAGATATATCGAGTGACCCGCACGTAAAAAAAACCTGAGAGCCCCCACCCACATTTTCATCAGTGTCGAACTGTTTTCTTCAGGCATGTGTGTGTGGAACAATTCGTTTAGATTGAATTTAATTATCATTTCAGCGCACCAGGTATCATGAAGCCAAAGGCGCTCGGGAAACTTGCATAAGATCTTTTTTTTATAAATCACTGTGCAAATGGTTTACAGGTTCCAGCATCCAGTATAGTAGCGAATAGAATGAGATGAACTCTGTATCACGTGACCATGATATGTGAGTCTCCCCAGTTTGTGTCTCAGTGGGCTGTAACTGTTTATGTTCGGCCATCTTGAATTGATAGTGAGGTAAAACGCATTTTAGGAACCGGAACCTGAGAGACTGAGAGTTAAAGAAGTAACAGTGACGAAATAAAATTTATTTGATAGAAATTTGTATCAGTTTTGTTAAAGATAATCAAATTTGTGATAAATTCTACCAAAATGTTTTATGCCACATTTACATATAACGAATGAATAATTAAACAAAATACGTTACGCATGCGCGATTGTAGGTACTTCTTACCCATTGCCACTACATCGTCGTGGCATTTGAGTTTTACGCTCGTCAAGCGGTTCTGTCGATTGTAAAACCTTCACCCTATATGCACACGACAGCGTTTTTGGAACACAATACCTGCAAAGTGTACAAAGAACAGATTGCCTTCGATTAATTGAAATGAAACCGACTTTGACAAAAGCAGATTTTGTACTTCAAACGTTTGGCTTCCGAACATAGCATCTTCATCGATCGTATATGGTTCCGGCTGTAAGCTGTCTGCTTTGTGTGTGTGTGTGTTTGGAGTTTATTTTGCGTGTACAGCTAGTCTTTGAACTTGGGGCGAAGAGGAAACATAACCAGCTTTCATGTGAAAGTAACTCATGGATGTGGAGGGTCAAAGAGGTAAGTGGAAACACCAGATGGAACTCTTAGGATATGCAATAATTGATTCCTCGATTGCATAAAAAGAACTTTCGGCAGAGCTGGGAGGCAGACCTTTCTGCAACAAAACCGAAACATCCTTTTTCAACTATGGAGGCGACCGCGAGTGCAATGTGCAACGGGACTGTAACGAACGGGACGGAGGGTTGTGACGAGGGGCTGAACGGCACGCAAGTCGGCACAACAGCGGCCAGGACGACTATGAATCCGGACATATACAACAGCTGGGACGACGCTACGTGGATTCTGACTAGCGCATTTGTCATCTTCACAATGCAATCTGGTGAGTACACGTACGCATATTTTTTTCTTTGTGCTAACAACCTTCGAGGCCTAAATGGTTGCTTACAAGTCCAAGATTTTTTGTCAAATTGATAGGGTAAATCCCGTCATAAATTACTAAATATATCAAAAACCACAAATATTTTCTATATGAACATGAAACCAACTCATGGCCAGTCAGGGGAAAACTAAACCCCAGTCAGTGCTACTTTATTTTCTAAAATGCGATAGGAGAGCACCTTTCTTTTTTGCTTGGCTGATGATGTTTGGTACTCTGCTCCATTGGTTGAACTCGACTTCAGCAGCAGGAACCGACGTGCTCATGCTTTATACTTTCAAAGCGAACGACATCCACTGTTAACTTTATGCTTCAAAGAGTCCAAAGTTTCTGGAGGAACTTGTTTTCCGCTATCTCGGACGATAATGACCGTTTGGGACACGGCCTGACAGCCAAGTCATCATGACTGGTTCTTGGGAAATGAATATTACGTGTTGGCCAGCGATTTTGTAATCATTATTGCTCTCACACGCTCAAACCGAAGCCTTGAAATTTAGCACTTGCATAAGAAGGCCTACGGTTAGTGACCACTCTTTGAAGATGTCGAAGATGTATGTTATAGCAAGCAGTTTAAATAATAAATCCCACAGTAAACGAGTTAGTTCGGCAATGTAAATTTTAATTTAACTTTTTTTCCACCTTGACATTGTGAATCGGCATTTGAAACGTTCAATTAATTTACTTTGAACTTAAATTAAAATTTTAGTTAAAACGTTCAACTGAGAATGTAAAATGTTAGATTTAACATTTAAAATGTAAGATTCAACGCTGTCAAAGAGTGGTCACTGTCCGCAAATAATGTGAGTGTTGGATTTAACACTTCTAGAGTGTACATGTACAATGTGTGCACTCATGACAACAAGCATCGCCTTTGTCTTGTTCACTGTAGACCCACTGCCAGTATCGTAAATACAACTTATACAACTTCAAATATTGATAAAAGGGAACAGACTGTTTTGCTGCCAGCCTCAGTTTGGTTACATTGCTTTTAACTGGGCGGTAGAAAAGCGCAATGGCTGACCAACGATAGAGCTCTGTAAGGCACATACATCACGATCCTAGAGGGTCGAACCTATACGACTCTCGCGGCTCTTGTACAAATCCGAGGCCGGTACCCTCTACATTAATATCCGCATAATGGTCCCCGAACATTAATGGTTTAATGGACATACCATCCTATATTTTATAAGTCCGATGCTTCTTAGAGTGTGACTTAATAGAAGACAAAAATCCCAACTGATATCGAGTGTCCATCTAAAATGACATTTATGACCGGACCGGACTACCAGCAAAAATGCCGATAAAACGTTACTCGGAGTATGAAAGTGGAGTGGAACTTTCATTGGATGGAGAGAGTGAAGTTGCTAGCATACTCACGCGCAAATGACAGCTCTTAACTGCTTCTTCTCAAATGCATATTGGTACCCAAACTGGAATAAGATACAGAAACCAGCGCTGTATCTTAGACGATGGGTTCAGGAACTCAAGAACATTCCTTCTTGGAAGACATGAACCGCAGTCCACAGTACACACAACACAGCCATTTTTATTCTCTCTCTTGGTCGGACTAAAGATTGAGGCCTTCATGTAAATTGAGCATGATTGTGACACCTGATTATTAAGCAAACTAATAATCAGATATACATGAAAGAGTTCTTTTGCTTGTTCATCCGGATCACCCATTTGTTTATCATAGTTTATACGTGAAAAGTGACAGCTCTGGAATTCTGTCAGGTTCAAAATATGTTGTGTCTTAAATGAGCAACTTGATTGACACAGTAGGCCTTCCAATAAGAAGTCATGAGAAAGTCGCAATCGACTGACAATACTCATGACAACATCCCAAGGCTAGCCCTTCATCAATTCGCCTCCAGTATTTCCGTTTCGTTGTTTTGCGCACCTCCCACCAATCATTTCAGCGTCGTCATCCACATCCGGTCTTTGATTAAACTTGGCGGGCAACGGTCCCTACTACACAGTAATAGCTTTGCGAGCATATTAGACCGCTTTTAGTTCTACCTCTTTGGGTTAACGCAAGCCGAAACTAAACTCCACCGTAGAAAAAAAAAAACCTTTTTTGTTTTGACAGACTTTGACTCAACATTTGGAGTGTGTTCTGCAGGTAATATCTATCGCTTTTGAGAGTTAACTGGACAAAGAAGAGGAACCCGAATAAGAAGACGGATGAGAAAGAAAAGGCAAAGAGAAAAGAGAGCCGGAAAATAAAAATGAGGGTCGTACTGGTGTTTCATAACTTTGCTATCTTCGCCCGATTTTTGTTGACCTCCATGCCAACGACTTGGATCATTTAATTGAAATTGAATTTCAAGTAAAGGACACTAAATGACCACTTCTTGATGTGTGAGAAGTTGGCAAAATAATTAAGTTAGGGCAATACTCTCCATTTACCTTCATTTCAAGAGTGCTAAATTGATACAAATAATTGCATATAGGCCTAAAAGGGTCATCTAGTGGCCACACGCATTGTATTCAATGCATGAGGCTGATCGCGCCTCTACTCTTCAGACTTACTGGCTTTCCTTCATACAAGGTTTATTCACATGAAATTGTAAAAAAAGACCAGTTACAAGGGGAAACAAGTCAGGAGAATCCCATTTGGGTCCCGGATGCATGGGTGGGGGGGGGGACAAATGGATGTTTTCTTTAAAAAAAAAACAGTCCCGAGTTTTCATCTGTATCTTTCGCAACCGGTTATGCCATTTCTAAACTAATGGTCTTTCAAATGCTATAAAAAGGCAATATGTTCCCCAACCTTCCCTTGATACACCAATATAATGGAGACTTCCATGTTCCCGCTACTGTGAGCAGAGTGAGAACGTTTGTTTCCCTTCATATATTTCAACTGTCACTTGATGTAGAAATCTTGTGGCCCATATAAACGGCGGATTACAAACAAATATGAGAGGCATGTTTGAAACACAATCGTAATTCCTTTATCAGTGTACACGTCTCTTCAGGTAATGTAAAAGTTAAAGCAGATTTCCAATGATAATAAAAACCCGGAAGACTTTTTCACTTATACCAAGTTCTCGAAAGGATTCTAAATTGATAATGCCAAATGAGCGATTCGATTTTTGCATCGAAATTAACGTATACCTGTAGTACGCTATACTGTACAGTGTCTTTTTAGTTTCATCACTTAATTCTTGTCTGCTTTTACTGGAACCTTCTTCATTGCCTTGAACCACTTTTCTACAGTATTCTTCAGTATTCTAGTGACATTTTGTGAACTTTCTTATTTTTTCCGAAATGTCAAAAGTTCATCCATACTATTTTAAAGAATTTTACCATTTTTCCTATTCAGTCTACGTTTGTCGTGTCATTTTGAAGTAGTCTTCAAATAATGTACGATTAATATGACGCTTTTTGTTTTTTAAGTGATGTGATGTGTATAACCTGCTTGTATTCTGGTTTTCAAAACCGTGAACTGGATTTTTCGTTTCTTTTTTAGTAAAGAATGGATTTCTAAAAGCCTCAATCAAGCCTTCACGAACGCATGTATACTGGGTATCTTAACAAGAATAGGACGATACAGTTTTGATTTTATGACCATCTTGATTTTTTTTTGTTGGGGGGATCAGGATTTGGACTACTGGAATCCGGCATGGTGTCCCGAAGGAACGAAGTGAACATCATGGTCAAGAATGCTGTGGACGTGATCTTCGGGGGACTGACCTACTGGATTTTCGGGTACGGGTTCAGCTTCGGGACCGGGCAGGGCACCAACGCGTTCTGTGGTAAGTTATTGAGTTGGAATCTTCAGAAACTTGCTTGTTTTTTTAGTCAAGGGTAAGAAATCGTTTCCTTCAGAGGGTATCAGGAAAATGGTGGAAGAGTGAAGAGTGCATTACGTTCTTAGTATTTCCGTAACAAAAGCGCCAGGAAAACTAGTGTTGATTAAGGGAGGGGCCAACTGCAAGGCTGGATAAGAGATGTCATGATGAAAATGTTGGTGCACGCCGTGTCTATTCGCTTAATACTTTCACAGTGAAGCACGCGGCATCAGAGGTGGTATTTTAGGCACTGCTCTCGCAGAATGTCAAATTTCAAATTGCATAGCGCATGCAACCGTGGGTCTGGTGCTTCACAATGTCTTTTCAGCTTTTTCCAAGATTCTTGTCTGGAGTGCGGATAATTAGGATTTGAAGAAGCGAAGAAGGTCCCCGTTGCAGCAAAATGCACCTGGTAAAATCTATTAGAATTCCGGACTGTTATGAGTTTCCCCTAGATGACCGTTCAGCAAATCTAATGAGGTATCGACCATGATTACACATGTGAATGACAGAAGAGTAACAAACACGTTGTGAATTGTTACCATCTCGCTGACTGACCTTATCCAAGGCCATCGATACAGGCTCAAGTGAAATATATCACCAATTTCATCTACCAAGAATCCAAATTTCGAGTGGACTTGAAGGTGGGAAAATCCATACGTGAATCCAAGTGTTTAAATAACATTATTTGGTGGAATTGTAAATTATTTATACTTTGTTTTACACTCCATTATTTACAATGAAATATATGTGAACCTCAGTTCATTAAAAAGAAAATACCCCCCTTCTAAAGTACACGTATAAATCAATTGCATGAACAGACTACAGTTAAGAATCAGATTACAGAGCAAGTCATTAAAAGACATATCGATGTTGTCGATCTGTCGACATGACATTTTCTTAGCTTATTGTTCAGATAGTCCATTGGATAGACTCTCACACAGCAACGTACGCTGTTAAAACTCACGGCCATTACAAACCCGTCTTTGTGTCAATAGGGGCGATTCACAAAAGTGGGCCACCAAGAGTTTACAACGCGTTGGCCAATCACAACGCGCGAAATCTGTCGACTCTTTCTAGATGCACGTTGGGTCGACAGATCTCGCGCACTGTGACTGGCCAACGCGTTGCAAACTCTTGGTGGTGCACTATTGTGAAGCGCCCTTATTGTAAACATGTAACCGTTTAAAGTTAAACGTCTTTTTGGAGAGAGACATGTTTCGGCGTTCAGAAAGTGTTACCATCCGATAAACGTGTTTTAGAGACTTGCTATTAACACCTTAATGTGTAATTGTGTCTGAATTTAGTAACACATCAACATGCGTTTGTTTAAAAAAAAGTTCATAAAGTGTGACCAGGAAGGCGTTTAAAAGACGTTAAAATATTAACACTCCTTTTTCACAGTGTACAGTGTGAAAGTATGTGCACATTTGATGTTTAATCATACAGTGAGAAGCAATTGACATCATATTTAGACCTACACCATATACATCAGCGTGCGTCGTCTACGCAGGCTTTGCGTGGTAGTCATCTTGCAGGCAGTTTGTCTGTTCCACAGGGAAACCTCCTTTGTGCATACCATGTGGAACAAAAGCACTGGCCTGCAAGATGGCAGCCATGCAAACCTTTAGGCCTATTGGGACCTCGGTGAGCTGATGCGTCATTGCAATGAAAAGTACTGCCCATCCAATTTATTCCAACAGTTTGAAACTTTCCCTTTGTCAGAAGGGGCCCCATAGACTTATCATGCCTGTCCCTTCGCTATTTACAGTGCTATTGTCACTGCTTAACGAGTTCATGGAGCTCACACTTTTTCACGATATTATTAAAACAGCCTACAATCTCCTATTCGCCTAGAGCTGGAGTGCACCCCCAAGCGGCAAAAGAGAGAGAGAAGGTTGCAAGTTTCCCAAGCAGGTTCTTGCGCGCTTGCGTTATGCGCGTACGCAAAGACCATCCGGTTCGTAAGTGTGACGTCACCTCAGTTTAAACCACGCCCACTACACATGCACTGCACTCAGAGTTACATGCACTGATCGCTGTTTACATGAAACGAAGTGACGAAGTCACTTACGAACCGGATACATTAAGGACTAAATTCGTTACGCGTACGTAGTGCGCTCCACGTCAAACGCGCCATTAATCTCCATTACCGTATAAACGCGCGCCAAATGCGGTGAGTACCAAAAAGCCACGCCCTTTTTTGTTCCGCTCGGAGCGGATATGGGGGCGACCATGTCCATGGATTAGTATTGTCAGCTGACAGCTATCGACCAACCAACAACCATCATGAAAAAGACAGTGCTATGATATAGTTCTGTGCACACGTAGCCAGTCATGTCCTTCCAATTGGGGTATCGGGGAACGACTGATACCCGACCGGTATACTCGCAGAAAAATGACAGAGTTTAAAGAGTGGTCAACGGTAGAGCGACCCGACCAGCGACAGTTCGCTTTGTCACAACAAAAAAAACGGTTTACCGCGTGTGAAGCTCATTAGTTAGTGGCTTGGAATCTTAAGTCAGTCAGTCACAAGTTCGATGAGGTCCGATGGAATCTACAAAATATGAAACAAAAAGAAAATTCTGTGCCCTTATTGCTTACGTGCTTTGATGTATGATTATTATGTAAATGGCCACTGAATTGTATGGACTTTTTAAAATGAAATTTCCCTTGTCTATCGTCAATTGATTTTACCACTGATGACTCACAGCGCAGTTAGTAATATGCGCCTATATGCAATGCAATCTCTTTCACTCAATGAAGTAATCTCCATTACGTCAGTCTATTTGTCCGTTTCAATTAACTGGTGCAAAAGGCACGATCTGCTCTTAACGAACTCTTGATATACCTCTCATTAGATGGTTTCACTGCTTTTATTTCTTGCGGTCTGGCAATTTACAACTTGAAGCAATAATTGGTCGGCTTGCACTCGAGCTTACGGTAGGTCCTTCGTTTAACGAACCAATATTTTTGCATGAGTTAAACCTGTTCGGGCCTTCTTTCACAATGACAGAGAAAAGGGAAAGACCCAGTAGTGTCATTCGTATATTACCTCCGTAACATAAACAGTGAGAGTTTGTAGAAATATTTATTTCTCTCCCTGTCACTACCAACCAATGCCTGTCCGGAGCGTCGTGTCTTACTATAGCTTTGATGCGGCTGATGGGAAAGGTTGTCTGCACCTTGTATAACCTTTTTTAAGGACCAGGTCTGCAACTATAACGTGATATTTTTTGTCGTCGTCTGGTTGGTTTAAACGCTCATTTTACAACGTCTCTTATGGGTGTTTGATTTAGGTTTATTTCCCTTTTTTTCAATCTTTGCCCGGGTTGGTGGCAAACGGTCCAAAATAAAGTAAAGTCAAGGAATATAAACCAGTCCCATCATGCAGGAATGCCATGTTAAATTGAACATGTTGTCATGGTAAGGACAAACAATAAACTCTACGACAAAATATAAGCCAAATAAGACTCTAAAGACGGTAACATTTTCAGCGTTTGAATCGCGGGCCAAATGAGACTTTTAAAAATTAAACCTATTTTTGTCTATAAAAGAACTCTCCTGTCACCCAAAGGAACTCATTCTATAGTAGTATTTCTCAAGTGTTTGCGCCTTGAACTCCATTTAAAATGAAAAATAAAATCATGTCCGGGGTGGGAAGGAGATGCTCACGCCCCATTATGTTGATACGCCATCGTCTGTTCGTACATCGCGGAGTAAGCAAAACTTTGAGAAGTAATTATCAGCCAGATTTCACCCGACATAATCTCGTTGATCACCTGTTCTTATTTTAGGGGTTCCGTAATACATTATACTTCATTTTTAATTGAAAAAAAGGAAAATCCATTTTCCCTTCTTAGGCGTCTTCTTGCGACAGGTATGCGGTTCTCGGATCATAATTCACATTCCCGATCAAAATTCACGATTAAAACAACCTACACAAAGTGCATCGATAGAAACACAGAAGGTTATTTCTCATTAGTTTACAAAGTTGGTTTTGTTTAGCAGTGGTGTAACTGCACAGAGGTCCTTGCCCCCAGGTGCCCCCACTCCATTTTAAATGTTGAAATGTGCAGATCCTTTAAGCTCAACATCCAAGTACCACCCCTCCTTGGAAAAAAATGGGCGTACACCCAAGTTCCCCGAAGCTATACCAAAGGTTTGATTATCCACGAGTGATCATCCACATCTCAGAACCAGGGTAAAGCATCTAGACTGTATGTAATTTATTGAAAGATAAAGTCATTTTAATTAAGGTGCAATAATTAGACTCCTGGAGTCGGGGCTTCCACTGTTCCAGTCCTACTTTCAGGTGCCCGATCAAAAACTGATCCGATCTGAATAGTTGTAAGCAACTTATACGATTTGATTTTTGATTTCTCGGTGTCAAGGTATTGGTCATTTCTTCACCGACTCCACGGATCCGGATGAAATGGGCTGGATTTTTGCGAAATTCGTGTTCCAGGCTTCCTTTGCCACCACGGCCACGACCATTGTGTCCGGTAAGTGGGCTGTTAGCCTGTTGTCGTAATATTACCCCCTTGACAGTTTATACTCCGTTGCACAAGCAAGCCATGGGCAGAATCGTCACTGAAGTGACTGTTAAAACCAGGTGGTGGCTTTTGTTTAATTTCATACAAAGGCGAAAACACTGGACTGAACCGACCTGATTACCGGGCTCATTCCTACTGTTGTGTCATGGCGTGCTAAGGTTGAGACAAAATTGAAGCAGCCTGGGCGACAGAACCTTCTTTTCAAATCACAATATTGCATTTCTAAGGGCCATAAAACTTGTCAGCTTAAGGAAATTGTCATATGCAACCAAGGACCGTCCCTGGACAAGAAAAACATGCTAGAAAGCCCTGCTATCCATAGAAAGGGAATATACGGCCCTGACCGCTATTGTGAAAGTTAATTTGTCTTTTATATGCACTCTGTGTCCGTTCGGATCCATCATCTTGATGGATATAGGTGCGTTCGAGACAGAACGGGTCCATATAGCGACATTGAATGTCCAGTGAGGCATGATACACCGTTTCGGTGACAAAATTGCCGTTCCCGTGAAGTAGAATAAAAAACCATGTCGTAATGGAAGTGTGCGAGTTTCTCTCTGATTCAATTACAGTAATATGTTTTATATAATGCAGCACAGTGTGGGACTTGGTTATAATTTTAGAATCGCCGATTTGGACCGGATCTGTAAGTGCTGTTTGAGTGAAAAAATTAACTGTTTCGTCGACACATTATAATTTATATTAGCCACCCCCATTTTCTTTTACGTAAATGCAAGGAAACACAACTTATCGTTGAAGCATCAGTCTCGAAATGGCTAGTGTGATAACCGCATCTGCCGGGTCTGCGGGGTAGGTGGTTTTAACATTTCCCCTTGGGCCACGAAAACAGGTAAATAAAAGGACAAACAAGAACAGACGCCAGTTAAACCCATCTTGGCACCTGATCCGTCCCTGGCCCTGGGTAATTTTCTGAATCAATCTCAAGATATAATGGAATCAATGCACCCAATAAACCCAGACCCGATATAGATAGTCAGTCAGTCGTTTGTAAGACTGTATAACTTGCTCCACATTGCCATATCGTCAGTTTTAGTTTTCTGTGGCGACGAATACATACTGGTGTGTAGCGAGGCGCCTTTTGCCTTTCGTTCGCTTCGCTAACTTCCGCATTTCAGTACGGAGAGTTTAGACCAACAACCTGAACTCGTGCCAGTACAAATGCCATTTTGAATAAATTATAATGGAAGCAATTATTTGATGAATTCAAGCACAACAAAGTGTTTCTGAATTCTTGTTTCAATTAAGCAAAAACCTTGGCATCCTGATGAGGCAATCTCGGCGAATCTCACCAGCATCAAATATTCATGTCGAACAAAGCGAAGTGGCATCGTCCTCGTCTCTGCGTCTGGCCATGCGTTCGATAATAAACGTTAGCCCGGGGTAGGGCTCGATAACAGTCACAGAGCACTTCAATGGCCGACGGACCATTCAGTGGAAAGAGATGATCATTGGCGTAAATTTGTACCTGGAATTGGGAGAAGGGATGAGGGAGAAACGATTGTGTGTGGGCGGGGAGGGGGATGGCTTGGCAGGCCATGGAAATTTGAAAGGGAGGGTAGGGGTGCTGACACCAGGTTGAGATGTTGTATTACACTCCTGCAGAAAAGTACATCAGCGTTACTGAATACATCTGGGTTGCTGGGAAGTCCAAAAATTCTTCACAGTCTGCCTTAACTTTCTTTTTAAATAAGGACAAGTATAGGATGCATCTATGGCCCATGCCCCTTGGGGGACATATACCCCATTCCCCAGGATTTACACCCTGGTGACGACTTAATTTACTGGGTTTTCGAAACTGAGGAACAGCTAAATCTTAAGTTAGAACCTCTAAGCAAACATGAAAGATCAACTTTTTCATACATTAGCTGAGTACCAAGCAGTGTTTCATGCTGAAAGAATCGACAAATAAGAGATTAAGATTTTGTCCATTGGATTGTTTTTCAAAACCAAGTGTTCATTTCTTACCCTTGAAAGAACCTTCAAGGAAACATGCAGAGATGTTCAGTTCGTTTTGTTTTCAGGCATATATTGTGTGTTACAATAGCACAAATAAGAACTAAGTATTTGTTTTCAGTGTAAGTGAAAAGGAGGTGATTTTGAAAAACCCTTTCACCAACGTATGCACGAGGGCGCTTTTATTATGCCGTCCGAGAACGGGACAATTCAGTCCTTCAAAATCATCCCCCGACAATGGCTTGAAGAAATTCGAGCAATAATTTTGTCCAGACAACCAAGTATACCGTGAAACCTTCCCCAAGAAAATGTCTGAAAAATTGTGATACCTTATTGCACATAAAGCTTTGGAGACACTCCTTCTTTACCTTGAGTGAGATCATGAATATGGAAATCTTCTTAAGCATAAAATCCAAAATATTGTAATTTCTCCCTTTTATTGATAAAAAGGAGGTGGAAAGTCATCTGAACCTTCAAATAAAGCTGAGCTTCAGGTAGTTTAGTCCTAAAAATCATATTACAAGGTTCCCTCTTCCCAAGAAAGGTAGGAGTAAAAAAGCAAACCTATCTCGGGGGGGGGGGCAACTACGTCACTGCTGCCAATGCTGTTGAACAAGTAATACAAGTAAATGTTGGCCTATTTGTAGTCATTAGTCTCCGGGGCAAACTTATTAATGTCGACACTGATCAATTTTTTTCCCTCGAATGCGGTAAAACTAATAGCTTAATACGAAGACAGGTATATAAAACAGAACAATGAGGAACCAACATTGACTTGATATCGTGGCTGAACTGCAGGTGCGATGGCGGAGCGAACCAAACTGGAGGCGTATTGCGTCTTTTCATTGGTCAACACGCTCATCTACTGCTTCCCAGCACATTGGATCTGGTCGGAAGAGGGCGTCTTCGCACGGATGGGAGCTATCGACATTGCTGGAGCAGGTAAAACCTCTTGGCTATAAAATAATGCAAATAACCATTTTCCTGATTATTATTGGTTATTATCAGTTTCAATAATTTCGCACTGAAACATATACCCTGCCCTATTCACGCCGCTGATTTCACGAATTTGTGAGTTGCAAATCTGTTTGAAAGCATTGGGAAATCAGTTAAGTTTTAGAACCCTCTGATATATGCACCTAAAACCAGCGATCATGAAATGAGTTTCCTCTAGGATACCTCTGAGTGTTGACATTCTTATCTCACAGAGTCCTGGTTATGTTAGGAAAACGTCACACGAATGTTGTTTACTCAGATTTAGTTCTGCAACCCATCTATTTTCATTTCTTGAGTGACACAAATGTACTTGGTGACTAGAATATCGTTTCTGCACCTGCCCATTCCGTTATGCCAAACTGTATATTGAAGGTATATGCATAATATCAGTTCACAATGATTAATAACATGAGCCTTATTGAGCATTAATAACCACTAGGGTGGATTACTTTGGTAATTGCTTGGCTTATTCACAAGGACAAGGGCAAGTGGAACTCAAGGTTAGGTTTTTTAATAGGAATTCATCAGTGGAATTTTGGCTGGTCATTTCCCGTTATCTCTCAAGTGTCCCCCCCCCCGAGGAGACGAGGCTTCACTCTCCCTCTGGGGTGCCGTTATTTCATTTACAGCATATCAATTACTGGTTTATAAACTCGATATACCTAAGGTATTTAACCTTGCGGTATATTGTACTGAACTGGAGCTGTTATTGCTGTGTAAGAAAGTGGAGGTGGGCTGTTGATACAGTGCGTCGGTCGTAACGCCATCTGGAGGTCCCTCGGGCTCACTGCCATGGCTCTCAATTATCGTTAAACTGACCAGTTGGACTGTCTTAATGAGTACGGTACACCGATAATCCCAAAGCGAGGAAACTTGGAGAGATGAGTCCTGTATTTCGATATTGTGCACTCGACTAACTGCAAAGTAGTCCCATGTAAATTGAATGGTGAAAATTCCTCTTCCAATTATTCGCGTGATAATGGTTAGCAGGGGGGGGGGGGCAAATCCCTACTCACGAAAATGCACGTACTGCCTGCTGCTTATGCCCTCATTACACTCTGACGAGGACCTGGAAGACCCCGCTACGTTGTAAAATTTCATTAAAACGTGGCTTTAAGACGGGATGAAACTAGGGAAATAGCGCGAAAAATTGTACCTTCAAGATTGCGATGGGGGTTTTAGGCGCGTTAATGATGTTTCATTCTACATGCGAATTTAAAAGCGAAGTGAATTTGACCTCACGAGAGATGTGTGACAAAATTTTGCTCGAGTTGAAATGCATTAAACTTTCAGCGCGAAAATTTTGGTCTACCGTCAAAAATTCGTGTACGGTGTTCGCTGTTTTGCCAAGTATGAACCGGCGTTGCTTTGGCAGAAAATAAGGTGTGCATTATCTACAGTGTAAACAGACACAGTTTCCAATCTGGGAAAAATGCCCTCACTGGCTGCCAGCTAGTTGTTCATATACACATTTCTGAACACAAGTTGACTGATGACTTTCAAACTACTGAAAAGAAAACCACACCTTGAAAAACTACCAACGGTTAACCTGTGCTGGAAAGCGGTCATGTGGAAACTGCCTCTTCCTTGCACTCCTTCATACGCCCACATATTATACTATTCCAGAATTTCTATCGAAGCAGATCTTTATACAGATCTGCTTCGATAGAAATTCTGGAATTTCAAATTCTACAACGCTCTTTCATAAAAGGAGACGCAAAATATAAGAGTCGCACTGAGCATTTTTAGCATAGTCTATTTTGGATTTGCTATACAGTGGACAATTTTTCCCACACATTTAATGACCTGCAAAGACATGAGGCTTGGAAACCTTTCCTTGTTTCGATTTTTAGGGGCAGTTCACCTGGTTGGTGGCGCTACCGGCCTGGTGGCTACACTGATGCTGAAGCCCCGCAGAGGGCGCTTCGACGGCAAAGGGGAGGCCGAGATGAGCAACCCGACCAACGCCCTGCTAGGCATGTTTATGCTGTGGTGGGGCTGGCTGGGCTTCAACTGCGGCAGTACCTTTGGGATCTCGGGGGGCAAGTGGAAGCTCGCGACCCGGTAAGTGGTCGCTTGCAAGGTGGCAGGTGTACAGCAAAATATTCTCGTGATCGAAAAAGTGAGGCTATAACCGAAACTCAAACGCCCCTGTGAAACCAAGGCAACCGTATTCACTATTTATGTTGTAGTAGAGATAACACGGGTGTACGGAAGTCGCCTTGAAATTGAAACCGATATTAATAATTATAAATGTCGGGTTTCAACGTGTAAATCTTTCAAAATACACGTGTAATTCACTTTGACTTAATTTGACATATTGACGATAGAAGCCCATGTTTTCTGACACTGAAGAACTTTTGTTGAACACACTATTCACAGACTGAAGACATTTCAAGTTGCGCAAATGATATGTGCAAACGGAAGGTCGAGTCGAGTATAACCAACAATATCCAAGTAATTTCTATATATTCTTTCAAAAGGGGAAGTAGGTCACAGCAACCAATCACTTTCAAATGCAAGGACTTAGGTAAACGCAAAACTTGCACTTTATATTACTGACATCTTTCGTTAATTCTGTGGGCAAACACTGTCACAGAATTAACTTGTAGAACGAAAGTCTGTTCACTTTTCCAAATGAAAAGGCTCTGATCCAGGGAAATCCACGAATGGAGTTTTCACTTAAGAGCTCCTAGAAAAGGTGCAGTGACCTGCCAGGCGATTTTTGAGAGACTTTGATGGGACAGTTTCCCCGCCATTTTCCTCCCTTTCAGAGCTGCCGTTTCCACGCTCTTGTCATCCTCTGGCGGCGGTCTTGTCGGCCTGGTGGTCAGCTGGATAGCCACCCCATCCGGGCGAAAATTTGACATTGGCTATTTAAATAACGGGGTCTTAGGGGGTCTGGTTGGAGTGACAGGTGACTTTGTCGATGAGTGTTAACGACGGCGGACCTTCGGGAAATATCATATAGATTTGTGTCCACCTGTTCTTCCTCTACACGACGCGGCGTTTTAAAGTGCGAGCATGAAGGCTGACATTATTGTCGCAAAACGAAACAAGTCTACATTGGTCGAGAGTTCGACACAAAACGATATCCCACCGTGGTGTCAGACTGAAAAGTGATCCTTTAAATGCACGACAGTAACTGAATAATTGCACCGTATTTCATTCATTTTTTTTTAAACATGGATTCCGGGGGGGAAGCATGTCCTCACCATTGGGAAAATATTGAGCTTTGTACATATCCAAAGTTTGGAATTTTGGCATAAGCTTGAGCTCACGCGATTGAAGAGATGCAGTAACGATGATTTTAGTCAACTGCGTCGATGGCTGGACAGGCGTCACAAAAACAATCCTTGATATTTCTGAGAAGTCATCCTGCTGTTTTGTTTTTGTTTGTGTGTCGCCCGCCTCAATCCATAACTAGTGTCAGTGACCTTTATTTTGTGTCCCTCTTCGTTCTGTAGGTCCGCCATGGTGACCATTACGTCATCCATCGGGGGAGGCGTGACCGGACTGGCATTCAGTTGGACCACACTTAATCGCACATTTAACATTAACTATTTAATCAACGGTGTATTGGGAGCGCTCGTAGGCAGCACAGGTGAATTTGATTGTCAGAATGAAATTTTCCAAAATCGCATGACAGTGCAAAAGCGGTTGTTTTTGTTATTTTATAATATTTCTTGAAGACATTTTACAGTACAAAGATATTGCGTATTTTCCTGGCAATTTCGGCCATGCAGTTCAAGCAGATTCCGAAACTGATTTCTAAATAAACAAAATCATTTGCAATTCTCAGACCAAAAGTCTCTTGTAGGTAAAAATTTGAAAGTTTCGTTTTTCCTCTTGAGTTCTTTCTTTCTTTCTTCGGTCATTCCTTACTTTAGAAGCATTAGATCACTGATAAAGGTTGCTATGGACAAAATGAATAAAAAAGATACACAACTTTTAAGCTCGTTTCGTTGTTCTTGGGTAATTTAGGAATTGCTGTCTTTTTCTTTTGCTTACTTGAAGTGTTTTTGTCCGCTTCTCATTTTTTAGAAGAGAGTTCCCACGTGGTCCTTCTTACGTTAATTTCTCCTTTTCTCTTGGTAGTTCGTTGATTTAAGAGCTCTTTAAGATCCTAGAAATCTGAATTAAAAATAAAAAACATGGTTGAAGAATTAAACGCTGCAGAACGTGACAGGTTTCACAGGATGTGGCTTTGACAAATGAAAGGAGGGATGTTTTTGCCCCCCCCTCCAAAAAAGAATTGTAATTTAATAATACATTTTGCTTCCAGAGTAACCTCAGTGGCATATTGTCGATACATTCTTCATCACATTACACTTTTTGCATGTTGTTTAGTTTCGTGCAAAGCCCTCATTTCTTCTGAGTCTCAATTGATAAATAAGACAAGCATGATTGACGAAATTTGCATGCAGCAGATTCATAATTGTACACTGTTTATCTACCAAAGCCCTTGGGCTTGGTTTGAAAAATTTGCCTACCTGCCTGCCCATTTTAGCTTTTCCTATCTTTCTCTGAAATTTCTCAACATTGTGTTCTCTCAAATTAGATTTTTCTTGTGGTTAGGAAGAACCTAAACGGGAGTTGCCCTTGACTAATCATGTTGTAATTTGATTCTTTAGCAAAGTAGCCGTTTTAATCCAATTTAAGCTACACAGTAAAAAGCACTCGAGAAGTGATTGAAAGCTTTCCCAATACACGCGATTAAATAGGTAATGCAAAACTCACAGCATGTGTGAAGTAACTGCGTTCACAGTCTGGAAATGGTGTAGCTTGTGAGAAGCCTTGTGTTTTGCCACATGTAGGAGAAAAAACTGGCTATTGGAGCTATAACGGTTTTGATTCAAACCTCATTTTCTGAAATTGCCACCAAAAATATGCACCTGTTGATGACCATTCACTTCACTATAGTTCTCTCATTAAATATCTGTATTTCTGTATGAGGGGCCATTTTAGCAAAGTTCAATCGCCGTCCATTTTTTTTCAACCAGTGGTCGATTTTGCCTGGTATCCAGGATGCATTTCATGCATGTATGCATTTAGGTTACCAAGCAAAATTGATCGTGTGTTGACAAATGGCTGCTGATCGAAGATCATCTATTTGAGCTTAGAAGGAGAATTAATGCCACGAGGACAGCTCTGTGAATATGCACTTTCCTCAGCATTGTGCCTCATAATTTAGTTCAGTTTTCTGTGTTGTGTTTCAACTTTAGCATCTCGTAATTATATCTTGGCTGTTGCATGCTGAATTGGGCAATATGCTGTGCTGGTTGATGTGAAAAGCCGTCTTTTTCCTTTAAAGACATTTGATAATTACTGGCTCCAGTAGTACTATTCCAAAGATTTTATGGGTTGTACAGAGAATGGAAGTTTTTTGTGATTAAGTGCATACCAGCAAGTTGTAACTTTCCATACCTGACCTGACTACCTACTATGGCCTTGATGAGCGAGATTTTTACAGCAAAATGCCAACATCGTATCATTCATGTGAAAGAGTACCAGACTAACCAGCGAGGCTTAGGTCACGCGTTGAAATTAACTTTTTAAAATAACCCCTCAGAATCGATCGTTTCTATTGGAAAGAGAATGCGATAAGTAAAGAAAATATTTCCTCGGGATTCGAAGTACGGACAACCTGTATACTAATCATTTTCCTTATACCCATTACGTTACGCAAGCTAGCTCGACTGTTTTGTTGAAAAATAATGCTGCTGAAGCTATTACGTAAGTCAGAAGCCTATCAATATGGTGGTGTATTGGGCATAGATCCCGGGGGATAGAGACACACAACTATATCCCCCCCCCCACTTTTTGACCAGGGGGTGGGCTATTGAATCATCCTCCCGCACTTTTTACAAGGTAAGAAAAAAATGAGGCGGATTGTGGAGATTTCTTTGGACTTTTCAACAACCAAAATGTATTCAACAGCACTCAAAAAGGGAGAACAGTTTTTTACAGCCATAAATACCTCCTGACGACAGGTAGAGCATACCGCCCGAAACACAGAGTAACCGATTATGCTCGGAACCGACACTCAGTAAAATAGATTATACGTGGTGTAACCGCAAACCTAACAAGTGGATCAACACCTCGCCGTGCAAACCTTACAAATGTATCAACCATAAATACGTCATTTTTTGTAAGGTTTAGCAGGAGTGTAAAACATATTACATAAACACGTCTGTATCAAGAACATCGCTCAAGTGTCATAATTTATGGTCTACGGCAATCTTCATCCCCCATCAGTTCTTGGCACACCTCTACGCACTGACTGCATCGCTTCGTATTGGGGCATTTCGCTTTGAAAAGCCTCGTTTATTGAGAGCTATGGGTAGTCAGAGCGGGATGCACGAAGAATAAGAGTAGATCTTTAATACGGGCGATTCACAATAGTGCACCTCTAAGAGTTTGCAACACGTTAACCAATCACAGAACGCGAAATCTGTCGACCCAATGCGCATTTGGAAAGGGTCGACAGATTTCGCGCTGTGTGATTAGTCAACACGTTGCAAACTCTTGGAGGCGCACTATTGTGAAACGCCCGTATTGTCTCTGGAAGAGATTCCTTGATGAAGAGTACCAAGGAACTGAAAGGAATTCTTTATTGGTATGAGGGTATTATTTCAACTGATACTTTCCATGCACTCACTGAAAGATTCGTCCCTGACCAGTATGCGCAATAGTTCCGCAGTATATTTTTTACTCATTAACATATCAAATTTGATAGTGATCGAATGTGTTTATACCAACAGCTATCTGTGCTTTGTCCAAACCGTGGGAGGGGCTTGTAATTGGCGCCGTTGGAGGCGTTATAGCCGTGGCCACACCCACCCTCCTGGAGAGACTGAAGATAGACGATCCGGTGGGGGTAATCGGGGTCCACTTACTGGCCGCTATTTGGGGGCTGGCTGCTGTGGGCCTCTTCGGGAAACCAGACCACATTGAAAACCTCACCGATCAAGCAGGTATAATGTCAGATTTGTAATGTTTATTTCGAGCTAGGGGACCTCCCATTTGCTGTCAAGTAGAGCAGGTAGATTGTGGCTAAGGGCTTTAATGAGCTGCAGCTGTAAGCAACGATGTCGAGGCGGGACGTGTTTTGACATCAGTGATGGTGGACCAAAGAGGTTCGCCGGGAATGTTGACGTCAGTGCTTATTAGCTATATCCGGTTCGTAAGTGTGACGTCACTTCAGTTTAAACCACACCCCCTGTACATAGAGTTACATGGAACCGTGAGCTAACGCACAACTCTAGTGCTCTTCCGACCCAATGGAAGCTTGTAATCAGTGGTGCGTGTGTTCTATGCGTGTATGACAAAGTCATGTAGGCTCTACGAATCGGATAGACATAGTCCACGGTCGCCATTTTATGTTGGCGGCCAATATTTGCAGAAAGTTCACTCTTAGTAGGCAGCATTGTTGGCCTCAAAATGAATACTTGTACTTTGCTTCCGAGTGTTAAAATGGGAGGCGTTTACAGTTAGTCATAAGAAGTGTCAAGTGTACACAGTGTTTTAAAATTTACAGGAGCTTTTTGAATGCTTTGTGACTTCTTCTTTTCATTGGATATGTACTCACGTCCAGCCAAACGGTGGCTGGCCGCTTAAACTAGGCAGAAGAAAGATCCTTATAGGTTTCATCACACTGCCATTTTCGGTTGCTTCCCTTGTTGAAGGTCTGTTTTATGGCGGTGGGTTTCGGTTGCTTGGTGTACAGTTACTGATGGCGGTCACGATGTTGATCTGGACCTGCATCACTGCCTACATTCTTCTCTTTGCCATCAGCAAGACGATTGGGTTAAGGTGAGGCATAAATGAAACACGAAAACGAAAGTAATGACTACATATTGGATATTTCCTAAACCGTGTGTCCCTTCTGTCTGCAACTAAATTATATTTACAACCCAACGAAAAGAAACACCAGAGATTTTCTACTTAGTTCTAAAAGTCTTCATGTATTTACATAAATTTGCAAGTATTTACACTGTCTCGTCAGTGGGTCATTTTCGGCCGATAAGTCTTCACTTTCTTTCTTATTTGTCATTTATGTCACCTGCAGGCAATTATTAAGCTTACTTCATACAAAATTAATATAGAGCTCTCTTTATTACAAATTTAATTTCTATAGTTCTCTGTAGTAAGGGATCTGGATGCAATAAGGATATAGGGACTGCAACTGGTTAGAATCTGGCACGATCCTTGGAAACACCACAGCCTCCGGGTGTCCTACGGGGTCTTTGGTTTAATAGCTCTGGGTTGGGTCCTCCTTGGTCTGAGTATAACTCGAGCCCCAATAAATCTCAGCATATCTCGGGCTTGGTCCCTCAATTTCAAGCCATCTGATAATTAAAAGCATTTAACCATATTCCACATAACAAAGTTTCTTCAACTGTTTGGTCGTAATCAAAAGAACACTTTATGTTCAATAGTTCCTCGTTATAGCTCCTCTTAATTAATAACTATTTCTTGTTGCGAAACTCAGTAAATTCAAATGTCGATGTACATAGTCCAATAATCGACAGTCCACAGTTTAACTTCTGATCTGGTCTGACCTACTTCGATTCATCCAGCACCCTCACACATCCAAAGCACACATTTTACCTTCCGCTTGGCAAAACAACTCCTTAGCAACTTTTGTACAGCACCTGGATTTGTAATTTTACAAAACCATGACTTTTATCAATGCTGCTGCTAGAGACAAAACAAACCACAAGACTACCAAAAAGCTGCTGCCTGCAAGGACTATTACATAACGCGCATCCGAAGTAACAAAAGACTACTTCTAAAGTGATGCAGGTAGTAGTATTTTGGTGGAAACTTCTGGGCTGAACCATTTCCACAAAAGGGGGTACACAACAAACTTTTACACCACACTTAATGCATTTCTGTATTTGCTTTAGGATTGGACTTTTTGTTTGCATCCCCAAAAGAAAGACAACGAACAAAATGAATCAAAAACTTCGAACAAACTTGCTTAATAACAGTTCTCAGTAGCAATAGACCTCAAGTTCGATGCGTACTGGAGGCGAACACAAAAGCAAAGCGATTTTGAGGTCACAGAGCATTTCGTGAAAAGTTCGGTCGAGCGGGAATGTGCTCAACTTGAGCGGATTCATAGCGCAAGCATTATTTGATCTGTTGCCACAAATCTGCTTTCGCTCCAAGTACAGCCTGTAGAAAGTTGGAGGTGTTTCTAATTTTTCTGTCTCAACAACATTGCCCTTGGTGTTGATAAACGAGAGAAAGGTCTCTTGTACAAAGTACAAGACACTAAGCAGTTTTATTTTAAATATAAGAGCGCAAAATGATCCCCCTTTACATTGGGCTTCCTAATCGTACATTAGGCCTACACCACCGGATTCATTGACAGAGGGCTCTGATATCAGTTACCGACATTAAATATATACTCTGTCGATTGTTCCGAACGTGCAGATGCTCTGTGGAGCATGAAATCTTAGGTGCCGATATATGCGAACATGGCATCAACCAGCTGGGGCCTGATGAGCGCGTGGCCATCACCAAAGAGCTCCAAGATCTGGGCTTCGAGTCTCCCTTCGACTGCCCCAGCCCCCGCGTCCGGCTGCGGAGCGCCTCCAGCCGCCGCCGGTCCTACACCACCCGCGGACCCAGCGTGGCCGCCGTGACCGGCACGGTCAAGTCCATGGAGGCGGCCGACCAGGTCAACGGCGTGGCCATCACGCACCTCACGCCAGACGCTGGCCCTGATCGCACGGAACTGGATGTGACCGGTCACAACTGGATTCTGATGGAGAGAGCTAACAATGAAACGAGCAACGGTCTTCCACAGCCGGATGAGGTGACTCTCTCAGTCAGTGGATTACCTAAGGTGAGATAAAAACTGGAAACCTCTTCTCCGAATGCCCTCAAATGTTTCTTAACTTCCAAACACGTGCTTTCCAACAAAAGAAGACAAATTAAGCAGATAGTACGGAATGTGTAACAACGAATAAAGAATCCACCAATAACAGGAAGACCACCATTTATACATCAAATGTCAGGATATACCGTATTTGAGATTACATTGAATCTGATATCCACCGGCATACGAGAATCAAATCGTTTATAATGTCTAAAACTGTTGCGTCCATTTTGAGTGATAGAAGCATGTTATTAAATTTTGTTGGGTTTTTTTGGTTTGTTTTACTGAAACGCTTGGATACCAAATATACGACTACTATTTTTCATAAACTAATTAATGTCAGGTCTTTCCTTCTCCACCTCAGCCCGACAGACTGATAGGTGAACTGCACTTAGGTACCGACAATCCTGCCTTCGATGCAGCAGGTAGTCGCCCTACCAGTCCCTTCAACGTTTCTCCTGATCCTGGCCAAAGAGTACACTTGTCTGTCGTGCGTGCTGTGAACGAATGAACCATGCCTATTAAAGGCAAACCGAATCACAGGGATGAATTTGACAAGAGGACCACATTATATTGTGCTACAAAAAGACAATTCAAGTTGCACAAACTTGGTGTATCCACGTGTATAGCCCAAAAGTCAAATGAAAATTATGATATTGCTCTCCGATGTTATATGCATGTAGTTAATGTAAGTTTCATCGATGATAGGAATGCATGTGCATCTCCTGTGGTTTTATTGAAACTATAGGCGTTTGTGAGTTTTGTCTTATGAGTTGCCATCTTTGTGTATGTAAAACCTATGGACAGAAAGACGCCGTTTTTCCACAGCCAGACGACTTCAGCTAATTTCCAGTTATTGTGGGCTGTCGACTTTTGCGGTGTTTAGATAAAGTGGTCATGGTGTGCCAGTGATTCAAACTAAATTCTGAATGTACTGATGGGAGTAACAACATAGTCTGGCAATTGGAACGACTGAACTTGTGTCCCTGTGGCGATGTATTGTGGGGTTTTTTTGTTGGATTTTTGCGTACATCTGAGTTTAAAATTCAAAATGTGGGGGCAGACAGAGAAAGCGAGAATCAGTCAAACTATAGGGTGTGCAGAACATTGCTACCTAGAATGCAGAGAGTTTAGGCAAAGATTTGATCACAGTTATTATTTCAGTGGTCACACTGCACATTAAAATGTTATGTAAATAGACATATGAGAAGGACCTCAAACGATTTGTATCTTTCAAGTTGAGAAAATAATCAGGTGTAAATTTCATAATACTGTGTATGTTTGTATATAATGCTGTAGAGTGGTGGAATAAAGCTGGAATGATTCACTCATTTCCTGACAACGAGGTATCATTTTTGCATTTTCTTATGTGATAGAGTCCACATGAACCAGAAAATTTAAATGACTGGTTCCTGTTTTCAGAGAAAATATTTATCTGTTTCATGCTAAATCAAAGAACGAATGGAATGGAATCATGCAACAGATTTTTGGGGAAAAGGTTTAACAAAAATGACGCATCTCAACGGAATTGAGAAGTTCAGTTCAATATATTCACAGAATAATGGGGGTATTTAAAAAGGCTGAGGATTTTTTTCGCTCTGAGAAGTAAGCTCTTTTAATTAAAAATTCATATTTCTGTGAATTTATGAATGTTTTTCTTGAGTGAAGCTGTTTTTATTCCAAATCTCATCGTTCAGATACACTTCCGAAAAGCTTACAGTCGAAAGGCTTTTAAGTATAGGATCCTCGGTGTTCAGTCAAAGTAACAGCTACAATGTTAATAAGTCAGCCTTATCAATTACTACCTTCGCTGGGATATGTGATGATTATAAAGTCAACATTTGCAGATAAACTAAATATACAAACGGATATCAGCGAATCAGACTTTCTGCATTCGGTATGGCAGGCTTCACGCATCTTTATAGTAACAGGCGCCATGGCCGAGACAAACCATATTAATAATTTCATTAACAAATATCTCGTCCTGTCCCTTTGGTGTGATATGCGTGAGGTTGCATGCAAAAGTATGTTCTGTGTTTTCAATCCGAATTTTTTTCCCTTGTTTATTTTCCAGTTCGGTACCAGGAGAAAAATCTGTATATAAACACTGGGCCCTAATATTTCGTGGAAAATTTTCATCTGTTTATTCGTCATCTGTTTAGCGGGCTGGATCATAAAAATGATGCAATTATTATCATCATTATCGAAGAAACGTCAACGTTAATTAGTATCTGGGGTATGTTATGCATTACGCAACTGGATGCTGAAAAATGAGGATTGTCACACTCCCGTGCTCTCCGCACATACATTAAATTGCACTTTTACAATGGAAGATGTCCGTTATTGTATAGCCGTTACGTTTAAGCTGGATACATAACAACAATAAATGGCATTGCTTCTTGTGAACCGAACGTTCAACGCCCAGTCGAGTCTACTATACTCATAATAAATATTCATATTTATGCCCTGGCCTGGAATATCAATACGCAGCTCGTGCAATCATCCCATTGATAGTACCTGCAGTAGCCGCAGTAACGACGACCTAGGTGATATCCACATAACATCACAGCATGGACTGGGAGCCGATCAGTGTGATAATGGTGAGTTTGATACTAGGAGCCAGTGCGCAGTGCTGCTAGTTCAGTTAACGGGGTATACGTAATAACACCTAATAGTAACAAGTTACTACATGTATGTAATATTATATATGTGCTTTGTATCGTTAGACGTGAGTTTCAGACTGTGCAAAGGCCATGAACACTAACCGTGGGTTTGATCGACTTTTGGGGGAAATTGGTTTTAATTTTCGTCTTGGTAAAATTAATTAGTGCTTGCCATCTATGCTTTGTGCCCCACACTCTCTACTTGTGGAAGCTACGTATGTTTCAGCCTATAGCCTGGCTTCTGCAAGTTTATATGGCGTGCAAAGTTGACATTTATTCCGCAATAGAGATATCTCTATTTCAGGATGTTCACTTTGCACGCTGTGAGTAGGCTTACATGTAGTTGATTTATTGGACTCGGAGTACAATAGACGGTGGCTGGACTTTGATCGAGCCGTTGCTTGGAGCATGCAAGCTCTTATTATGCTTTTACTACATAGACGGCTTGGATGATGATTGTCCAACAAACATAATGACATGGCGAATAATGTTGCCAATGGATTGTGCCAGTACCTTACAAAGTGACAAGCATTACTTAGCCTGACTTGTGTGCATCATGGCATGGATCATGCGTGGTCGTGCATGGATCAGTGGTTGAACCGCCATGCTCACTGTAAGTACCTTGGATTAAATTTAACATGATAATGAATGAGTCGTACATGTCGTAAACACGCGTGCTGTATGTTTTCCTTGAATTCATGTTCAATTCCTGCATTGAACATTCCTGCAGTGGTATTGTTTTTGCATTCAATCGGGACGCTGAACAAGAGACTGGTCGCTGATCAGATTTATGTCGCGTGCATGTATATGAATCCTAATACCCATGGGAACCCTTTGACAAAAACGTTTTGAGTCCACGGTCCATGTAAACTAGAGATGCACCGGCCATTAAGACAATTTACAACTTTCAGCGGCCCGGAACGCGTTTCGCGAGAAACAGGCTTCGATCAAGAGATACGACAACGAAAGCACTGAACTTTCCTGTTATTATCTTGGCTGGCTGGCTGGTTAGAGATCGCTAGAAGGCTTCAGGTAAAAAGTTAACCTTAATTGCCAACAACTCAATTTGAAGCGAAGCCAAATTTGTTTTGGAATTCTTTCATGCATTGTTGGTGAATGTTTGGATGTATCCTTTTATGGCCTGAGGGATGAGGCTACACTTTGCGGCTATTTGAACATTTGTTTGAAAAAAAGGAAAAGAAAATAAAGCACCCCGCAGCTCTTTTGAGGGGGCCGTGGCCCTGTTGCTCCCCAGATCTGCCCTTGGTCGAGTTGTCTTAACTGGCAGCAAGTCAAGAAATGCAACGCCATTAGCAATAACACCACACGATGAAATTTCGCCACGCACCACTACGCCACTACCCTCACAACAAAGGCAAACAAAATCGTCACCGTACATTAGTTCAAATGTGCGGGTGGATGAGGTGAACAGATGTTCAGGCGATAAGTTACATGAATAATTAAAAAACAACCCGACCGTTTGCACGCATCGGCCACACCTAATTACTGATGAAGGATCATTATCATGAATTCAACAGCTTGCCCGAATGCTGGATTTTCCTAATCATTCCTTTTGCGGCAAGGTTTCAGTTTCGATTCATTTTTTTAAGTCAAACACACGTGTTACCTAATACTTGTCATCTAGCTACCTTTATGCAACATGACTAGGACAAAGCACAGTGAGACTGTTGTGAAATTGTCTTCTTTACTGCTACAGGGTACACTGGGGTACAGTCCACTAATTCAAGCCCCATTGAAAACAGTGTAAAATCAGCACTGTTCAGGTCCCAATAACATGCACGCCAACATCCCTGAGATTTCTGAAACACAAATGAAATTCTTTTCTGGTCACTAATCTTTCAATTTCTTTTCAATTACATTTCTAATTACTCCCACAAAACAAAATCACCCCCCAGAAAGTGATTTTCCCGAAATCTGATTGAAGCCATTTTTCAAGTGGCAACCTTCAACTTTCTCGAGCATTTAGGACCATTTTTCAACCGTAGTCTTTAGCCATTCTGGTCTCATATGAAAGCTCAAAGACCTAGGGAGTTGATCCTGGCAAGCATTTACACAATCTCACCATCTGAAGGGCAAACAATCTCCTTTTTCAAATGATACTGTGGGGGCGCACTTTTAATGCTAATGAGCTCGCCAGAAATTCTCACTTGAATTAGTGGTCTGCACCCTACATGTACATGTACCACGATCAGACATTGGTACAATTTCAAGTAGCCTTTCTTTCGCAGATTAGAATTTCTACAAGCCTAGGCTCTTTTGGACCACTGGGGTAAACTATATGGAGGGCGGCGCCTACTAGACTTGAATCAAGTCGGACTTGATAGTTGCTCTTGCCCAGTCGGCCATTCCTTCACTAGCTGTACACAGTGTATACACGGTCGTCACGCTCAGCCGCTCGCGTAACTTCTTATAGGGCGCTCTCATTTATAGCCTTTCCGCGATACCCAGCGACGGTCGATCATACGTCACCAGTCGGTAAGTCCGGATAAGCCAATCAGATCCTCCGTCGGTGATACAAACGACCTGATCAGTGTGCCGCTACTGTTCCAGAGGACTGTCGCCCTGTGAGGGCATTATTCAATCTTTCTCACGAAGGCGCGCTAACACCTGCAATCGAGGGAGCGCGGGATGTGATCAACATCAGGCAAAGCAAGCGATCGATTATACTGTTGACAGCAACTGTTCCTATTTTGCGTCCAATACAGGTTCACAAATAGGTTCTGAGCAACTCTTCAAAAGTCGAAACAGTTGAAACAGTTCTCGAGAGCGAAACTCAAAGAGTGGAATTCGTAGACTTCATCACGAGTGGGTTTGGAGAGAACACACGGACATTTTTGACGAGTTCGAGTGGCAAATATTTGACAGCTGTAACAGTGTACGTTTTGAGAATCTGAATAAGACTTTCCATATTTTCAGAGACTGCGATTAAGTTGGAAAATCTAAGGAAGGTGATGCACTGAAGTTTATATATCGGCCAGAAGTGAAGAGCAAGCCCTTACACTTGCCAACATGGATCGAGAGGAGAAAGTCCACAAAGCCATTCGCAAGAAGGGATTTCACGAGAAGGTACAAGCGTCTTTCGTAATGTACGTGTTCCGACCGGAAACAGCCGTCGGCTTTGCCGTCATCCTGATAGGAGTGGCCGTCTTCACAGCGTCGTTGAGGGCGACATGTCTAGCTGCCGCTGGATTCTGCGTCGCGTTGGCGGCCGCGTACGTACTTTGGTTCGCCTTGACGTACTTTCTGGCGTACGTGTGGGTAAGGATTGTGCGGTGGATGAAGAAGACAGGTCCGTAAGAGGCCCTTGTTTCAGGATGAAACAAACTTTTTGTCTGGCCACAAACTCTTTCAGCGCGAGAGGAAACAAACTACAAGATGGACTTTGAAAAGTAAGATGGACTTTGAAAAGTAAGATGGACTTTGAAAGTTCAGCTACACAGTGGAAGTTAAAAAAAAGTCTATATTTAAGTGCATTAAAATATAATAATAGTTCAGAGTTTCTTTTGGAATTTTTATTCTGATCATCGAATTTAAGACGAAAGGTGCTAAGGATGTTAAAAGGTCAACTCTCAATCTTTGGTGCTAGCATAGAGGAAGGACAATTGAACTGCCCGGGCTAGAACATCTGGCCAATTACCGCATGCCCGGTGTTGTCCATGGCCAGAGCGCAGCGAGCGCTTGCTGCGCGCCATCTATTTCACATCGTAATCCCTTTGTGCCAGTGATCGCCGCCGCAATTTTTCGCTGGTATATGTAATCTGCATCTTTAAACCTTTATGTACTGAGGTATAGGAAATTGAATATTCAAGCTTTGTTGGTGCTTGGTATGATCTCATGACAACATATTTAATGGTTGCGCTGTTACTTGTAATACGCCGTGTGCCGTAAATGTACACGTGCAGTCATTGCTTTTCTTCTGAAGTTATTTTGGGAATAAATAGCCCCGTTGTTTACAAGACTTCGTGTTCTGTTTGAATCGTTTTTATTACAGCATTTGTAAAAAAATGTATTTTAGGAGATTTTATGATTACTCCCTGTGATAACATAGAGCTTTTTTGTTCCACATGTATTTGACTTTCTAGTTGTGGTCAGCTCGTTGTTGGCCAATCTTGACCAAGTCCTTGAAATCTGATGTACTGGAGTGAGGAGAATAAAATTACGAACTTTGCATGGATATTCGAACAGTGTATCAAAATAAAAAAGTTTCCTAACGATGGCAAAAGTGGGGCTAATGTCAAGGATTCCTCTCTCTCCATTTCCTGGTCACATTAGTATGTATTTGATTGCAAGCAAAACACTACAAATATTGCAAGGATATTACTGGCCCCACTTGTTCGGCTAAGATGCAGGCAGTAATCAGTCATTTTTGTAATTTTCTCTCCATTTCGTCCGACTCGGCGGCGACGACGATCATTGAGCACTTTGAAGTCCCAGAGCTGCAACTCCTTCTGTGTCCTTCCTCTATGGCTCTATAGTTCTAGTAACAAGTGGGGTAAGCTCTGACCCATTCATCCTATATCTGAAAGGGAAGGGTCTTGTCAAATACCACTGTCTCCCTTTGTATCTTTTTTCCCCAACTACCCTTCTGCCGAAGCTCAGACAACGTAGCGCCCTCTGTTGTCATCTCTAAAACTCTGTAAATCTGAAATCTTGTGTCTACTGTTTTTACTTATCAAAGCTTTCACTGTATAATAAGCACTGAGGGTGAACATGTTTCTTTTTGTCAGGCATCGATAATGAACATTTATTTAAAGTCACTTATGTTGATACTTCATGTACTGGCTTAAGGTTATTAGGTTAATACTTATAGAAAGCTTAACAATAAAATATCTATATGTTATTTTGAAAACATTCATATTTTAACAATGCATGTCATAGCTTCAAACGCATTGCCTGTATTCTCTGCTATCAATTTCTTTCCAGAAGAAATATACCTCTACCCCTTTTCAGGAAAATGGGTCCATACTTTGTGATTCCAACGTTCTGTAATTGTCCTGCAAATGGACCACTGGGTGCTGGGCTTTATACTTCTAACTTTTCTACCTTTCAGCAATCTCTTTGGAATGAAGCTTGAATCAAGTTGGATACCCCCCCCGGCACACACTATCTCGTAACATATGGAATTATCTTTGAAACAGTTAAGCTTGAAATAACTATTTGCAAATTCATCTGAAGTTAAATACAAGTCCACAAATCGCCACGGGCAGTCTCATTAACAGACACGGTATATTAACGATCACGCTGACAAGATTATGACCAAAGATAAAAACAACGAAGAGCGAGACCATGTGATGCATACAACGCTAAATTCATTCATATATCTTGATCAGGTACAAATGTGGGTGGGAGCAAAATTTTACTACTCTTTAAATCACTGACTGAAATGACGCTTGCTTTTGCAACCTGGCAACAGAATCACTCACATCTTACATAGGCTACTAGTTTTGTTTTCTATGTATTGATATCGAGCACGGCTGCTCCACACAGATACAATGACTGACAACCAAGCTTTGCTTACTCTCAAAGGAAGCAGAAAGAGTTCTAGCACAGGTCTTCTAACACAGTTTCAAGTTTATCACGATGACTTGCCAATGTATTCCTTGATAATGCACAAATTTATCGATCTACGTTTTGAGGATTAGAAGTTTCTCCAAAGCGAGAGCTGTAACTCCCAGACCAGAAGACACTGGTCCTAAAAGTCTTGAATCCTATAACTGCTGAGGATTCAGGTCCACTGGTGTTTAGAAAATAAATAACCAAACGTGTACAAATATCCCTTCCATAAATGCATTTAGAAAATAATGTTTCCTTCTTGCCGACATTTTCCAAAGATTTAAAAACCGATTGCCCGGACCCATACTTTTAGTTCAGCTCCTTGCTCAATTTTTTTTTGGCCTTTCAAATAGCAATATAAAATGTCAAGTCATGAAAAATAAAAATTGCAAGCAGAAGCAGCCAACTGGTAAATCCGGTTGGAACTATCTTGATTCTTTGATCTAAGTTGGCACTAAACCTGCTTTGCATGACAACTTGAGCACATGAAAATGTACACATGTACATGGACTACAGGGGCTACCACAAAATATCCGTCAACTTTCTTAATACAAACACACAGGAATAAATGTTTTGATCTCTCAATCACTTCAATGTTCTTAAGCATTAATATTTTCTTCGCAGTTGAACTTGATGACTAGAAATTACCCAATTTAGACATTCCAAATAAGAGGCTACATAAAGCTGCACTTGTGATTTATCATTTAAAGACTAGAATTCCCACAGAGAGAACAAATATCATCCCATATTTTTACTGTTTTTGAATTTGGAAGTTTGATACATAATCATAAAGGATTTACAATGCTGAACTCAAACAACCCTCCCCCCATGATACCCAATGGAGCGACTATTTCATTGACAACTGGATAGATCCACTCCACCATTAGGGGTGTCATACCTTGAGGAGGGACTTCTTAATATCTTTAACCAGCATACTGCCGATGACCATCTTCTCGCAGTTGGTCGTGATCTTGCCCTTGCCAACAGTCACCAGGACCAGTGACCCGTTGGACAGGGTCTTGGCGGCAAATCGGAATATCAGGTTTTCGGGCTCGCTGGCCGGAACTATTTGCACGTTGGACACCTCGGCGACCCGGGTGATGATTGCCTTCTCATTGTTGGTGACCTCTGGAATGGTGACCTTGTCTGAGTTCTCATTCATACCAGTAAGCTTACCTAAATAAATTGGCAAAAATGGAAAGATAAATGGGAGTGACTCTGGAAAAGCTTACATATGGGTGACTTACATTACAGTGTTCCATCAACAGGTTACCAGAGCGAGGTGGTGCATTGTTGCAAACAGTCGGCATAGTCCCCTCCACCAGGTGTGCACGGGGGAACTTTGAATAATTCCTGATGTCTGTTCAGATAGAAGATTCATATTCACTTTTTCGAGTATCAGTTTTAATTAAGTCTGGTTTCCATATCGGCGTGGGAAACGCCGAGAACAAAGCAAACAACACGCAAACTGCAATGCGGACACATGGAAACGTGTCAAACGGAGGTGTCGCTGACAACGCAGACAAACGCAAACCAGCCCGCGAATGATCGGCAAAGTTGAGCCAGGTTCAAGTGTTTGCATCAAGTAGCCTTGGTATCCCCATACAAAAACGCATGCTGGCATGCCTGGTGTGCAACGATGTCCCTCTCGCTTAGTTCCCCGAACTTTTCCCATTTTCTCCTTAATGCTTAAATATTACACCCTTATGATTAACGAAATAGCTGACCATCGATGAAATGTATGAAACTGGAGAACAGGTTTGGCATCATGAGGCGGTACAGTCAATCTAAAAAGGTATTTTCCAAAAAATTTCAGAGGCCATTTTATTTCAGTTTTGGGGTGGAATGACGTCAAACACCGTCTGTTCTGTTCGTGTCTGCATCTTCACGTCTTGCGGACCGTCTGCGTTACAAACGACCATACAGAAACCAGGCTTTACTCCTTTCTTCTAGCCATTGCACGGAATGCCTTGATCTACCCGGAAGAGGTCCACTGAAATCCACTCAAATGCACAGTGCAACAAGTTGGCCCTAAACTAGAAAAATGGCCTCTTGGTGGCAACCTCCTGGTGTCGCACGATATTGTGAATCGTCTGCACACTACAATTTTTACTGAATGGCCTCCAGTATTTCCTTTGAAACACTGCACTTGGTCCAACCCTTATGAAACTGCTAAGCAAAAAAATTGCTAAGTAAAAACTAGGTTACCAGCCAGAAGTCATGTACTTCACACTACTCATGACTGGTTCTCAATCAAAAAACTGTCTGCCGAGCAATTTTTTCTGGGTAGGAAGTCACCAAATCGGAGCATGCTACTCACTCTGTTCCGACAGGAATTCTCTCTCGCTCATGCTGATTGGCTGCAGAAGCTCTCCCACAGGGGCCTTAATGCTGACACTGAACTTACGACTCTCCGTGCTGCAAACAAGATTTGTAAAAGTTTTGACAATTCTGAAAAACAAAACACTAGTCCCCATGCAACTCCTAGAGCATCTCTCACATTGTACCAAAAAGTTCCTCAATTCTGCTCTTGATCTACTGCTTGATCTACTGCCCTGTTTAAATATCCAGGACAATGCAGAACACAGAGGAGGGTCCCTTGATGAAAGCGTACCAGATTTCAAAGTTGGCAGGCTGCGTCGTGTCGGCAAAGTCGACGCCCAACGTGACGGAGACAGACTTGCCCACGCCCAGATTGGTGACTTCGGGAAACTCGTGCAGCTTCATACCTGCTGAGAGCTTACTTTCTCCTGGGGCAGGGACGGGGAAAGAGGATAAATTAGGAATCAGTTTTCAATCCTCTTTGTATGTCACAGTTGAAGTATCTTCATAAATTGCCACAGATATTTTTGGCCGTCCGGGGAGAGCTGGGGGACATTTTCTTTCACAGACTTTTTCTGTTGACAGTTGAAACAAGCAAATGCAACATCAGTTTCAGATCCACACATTGCCCACTTAAATATTTGGGAGGATGTTATAACAGTAATGAAGAGTCAAATATCAACATACAAGAAATATTATTAAGTATTCAATAGTCTCTGTTTTCTTGACTGGTGGTAAACCTCCATCTCTGACTTATTTTCAGTCCCATTTCTGAAACTAACATTCAGATTTGACCCCCGTTTTTGCTTGAGCTTTTTATCTTGACAGCTGCTATGACCAAATGAGAATAAGCATAGGACCAAATGAGAATAAGCATATCCCAAGACATGAAGCTTGAAATGGAGCTCAGGCCAAGTCTGATCTGGGACCTGCAGTCGATTGTTCCTGGTACCCGGGATGCACTTTGTGCAAAGAAAAAAATGGTGGCTGATCGCGCTTGGCCTCGGCACGCCCGGTGGCGCTCTCCACTGACCTAGCTTGATTGACTGGATCACGGCATCGCTGCTGTTGGTGAAGTTGAGCTCCACCGACACCATGGTCGTGGAATAGATGCAGACGTTGCGGGTGAAGCGGTAGGTCGCAGCCAGACCCTGGCTGTTCATGCGGTTCAGCAGCTCGAAGGTCTGGGTGGGCGTAAACATAGCACTGCTCACCTAAAAGGGAAAAAAATATGGAAAGGTGTGACAAAGCGCAATCCTGCATTTTAACATCATATCACCTGCTTGAAATGGTACTCTTTGTTTGACGGTACATATAAAGGTGATTTTTCTTCCACTCATGAGAATATCAAGACGTCACACTTGGAATTTGTTTCAGCTTATTACTAGTGTGAGAACGGTTTGAGTGCCGAGTACTTGAACATTTGTTGAGAAGTATCCAAACCACAATGTCACTTATTTTTCTGTGAGCAACGTTCTCCACACACTGGTTTGGGATTGCAACTCTAATCTACTTCTTTCTAACCAGAAATGACTCATACTGTATGTAAACTCCTGATGTCAAATGTCGATACGTGAATATTCATATTTGAAAGATACGGTCATGTTTGGTTGATTAAATCCCAGGGGCATTGTATGAGACTGAATACAAAATTGTCTTGCTGAGAATTACTGTTACGGAGCTATTTGCGCAACAGAAGAACATACAGAGGACGTTTTCAGCAATGGGCTCTGATGTCATACCGTCATTCCTGGGGATTTGTCGCTGATGGAGAGACCTTGTAGATCAGTCGCCAAGGCCGGGGTGAGGATCCCGCTGCCTAATCCAGCTCCCGATGCCTGCACTGAGGGACCAACTGGCACGGGTCAGGTACCGACACAACATGCGCGACCGCCACAAGAAACCACACGCCACCAAAAACATGCAGGGCAATATAAAGAGGTAGCCGGTGGAGGGTTGAATGATGGGATGCGATGGAGGGACGAGCCAGGCACAAAGAAACAGAAAACAAGAGAGAGAGAGAGGGATGGGGTGAATATAGGGGGGTTTGATATCAAAATCTGGTAATAATCCTAAAGCCGTGTCCAAATTGTTCAGCTGTGGCTTGGAATAACATGTACCTGTGGAAGCCAGTAAACAGTGGCTGAAGATATTTTCCATAGACATGAGTGTCACTGCCAGCCACAGGCAAGTAAATCAGACATGGATGTGCCTATTAAATCTGAAAGTACTGTGAAGTTTTAGAGAGTTGTCTATTTCTGTCAACTCTGTCTATGATACACTGTGTCGGTATGTGAGAAGGTTAGAGCAGTTCTCATGGAGTCATGGATCTTATCAAGTTTGTTGAGTGGCACTGATCCTACATAGACCTGCGATGTACCAACTTTGATGGGGAACAACATCTGAACAAAAATGTGATGATGTTTGAAATGCATTCAGTAGGCAGTTGCTGAAGTCACAAGTTCATTTGCATGCACATGAAGTGTAAACTTGGAGTTTGGGACAGGTGTTTCACATTTGTTATGATTCAGTAACGCCATCTGGCTTTATGGTTTCCGCCACCACACTGCATTACTACTGCACAAAGCATTCCTCACTACTGAGACAACAACATACTGAAGAGATGAAAGAAACTGTCAACATATGAACATTGAACAACAATCACAAGAGGGCAGCAAACAGAATTTCAATACACATGAAGTCACTGGTCTTAGAATGAAACCCTTTGAATCAGTTCATGTTTGGGGACGTAAATAGACATTGAAAATTTCACCTGAAATTTGGATGCACAGCAGAATTTTACACACGTTATCAATTGCGCGAGTATGTTATCTAAAATTTTGAGGGGAAAAAAAGCCGGAGATATTTTGGATTTAAGGATTCTCAAACTGTTGGCCAACTCACGCAAAGACGGTGAAGACTAAAGCTAAGGTAACTTCATCCGATCAGACGAGAGAAACTGACCTTTTACTCCTACTGGCCAAAATCAATGTTAACTGCCCAGAAAAACTTTCTGATGATTTCACTCCCTGTCACCCCGTTCCCCCGTCCCCCCCCCAAAAAAAACCTCGTAACAAAATTAGGGATTTGACAGCAGAACAGGCAGGCAATCATCTAGGTTTGTAATATCTGCCTGACCCTTCTCAGCTAAGATTGAAACAAAAACTACATGTCCTCTCCCAGAAAATTTTTTGAAATGCACGCCCCTTGTTGCTATCTGAGGCCATATTCCCATTGCACCCTGTATGTTTGGAAAGAGATGTGAACACTTGTTCACCTGCATTCATGTAAAAGGTTTATGTAAAAAATGGGAGCTGGTAAATTTTGAACAAGCACAAAACTGCCTGCCTAAATTTGTTTTTGCCTATCCTCAGGACAGATGGAAACTGAGAGGAAGTAAATGGCTGATAATGGTCAGGTGATTTCAGATCTAATTAGGAAGTAAAAATGACTGTGTCCTTGAGCAAGACAAGTAGCTGTGATTGGTTTTTCACCACCAAGATGGAAAAATGGGCCTAGCTGGTTGTTTGGGCTGTCGCAGGAGGCTAACTCTTGAGCAAAGACTTACTTCAGAATGTTTGAGAAATGATTACTCTCCTAAGGTTATCAGGGGTAGTAATTTAACATTCTGTCCTTTGATGTCAGGTCACATGATAACCTCCATTCCAGCAGTACTCGTAAACGTGTCTCATGAGGAGAGAAATTAAATGGAAATGGACTTACAGTCATCAAAATTCAGGAGCTGCATATTGGACGGGTTGTCTTTGGCTTCTTGTTTTTTGCTACCTTTCGTCTTGGTGGGTGTGGCTTTGGGCGTGGCCTGAAGGGGAACAAAGACAAACTGATGACAAGTGCCCAGCCCTGTGAACCTCCCTTTTATCAAGAGCACTGTTTGTACAATGGGAATGCAGTCTTCTGCAAGTCCACTAAAAAGTTCCACTGTCGGGAAACTGCCGACAACAGATTACAGATAGCCGACCACTTAAAGTGGATTATTTCATGTGGATAGCCACTGATTTATAATGTTTGTGGATTACCGACCATGGACCACCAGTTGCACACCACCATTTACAGACCACTCAATTCTCAGACACCCTCTCCGCAGATGGCTTCCAACTGATTCATACAGTGCAACATGAAGACACTGTTTGGTACAGCATGGAAGGTTCAGTGGTTGGTGCTCTCTCCAAAATTTGAAAAAGACTGAAACAGGCTAGAGCAGAGGAATTCGCATCTCTACATTCACATTGCTAGAAGTAGCACCTTCTTGACGGGTTTGGCTGGGACGTCACTGTCTGAGTCGCTCTCCTCGCTACCCGACGATTCCGAGGATGAGTCACTCTCCTCGCTGCTCGATGACTCGCTGGATGACTCCTCCGAGGAGCTGGTGCTGCCCTCGCTGCCACTCTCCGAGGAGCTGCTCCCTGACTCGCTGCCGGATTCCGATTCGTCGCTGCTGGATTCTGTCAAGGTAGCAGGAAAAAAGTCGCAGTGAGCAACTGGAGAAGACTCAAATTGAGAAAGACCACCTGAGAACTGAGCGAAAAGAAATGTTGTGATCTGCACCAGCTAGTAATACAAGGTGCTGAATGCCGACAGACATTACCATCACCAAGGAAGAAGGGCATGGGTTTGAGTCCAACGCTTGGTAATATTTCTCCCCTCACTACAGATACATTTCTTTACAAAACAATGGGAGTTATCTGTCTTTGTGAGAAATCTGTATCATCCTGTTGGAGTGGCAACGACTGCAGTGGACAATAAGGCTGTTGATTCTCAGCCACAAGAGCGAGGGTGTCGAGGGGGAAAATCAGTGAATAAAACCCAGGGGAGGACAAGAGCGACGTCTGTAAGACGAGGGTGGACGGGCCATGCTGTCCAGTTGTCTTCTTTGCTGGAAATGACTGACCTGAGCCAGAGAGTTCCTCCGCTTCCGAGCTGCTGCTGGAGTAGAACGACTTGGACTTGCGAGCTGGCTTCTTCTTGGAGGACAGCTTGTCATTGCTGGCCCAGGGCCGAATCTCCTGGAATCACAGAGAGTTTCATCAGGGATGAGGGGAGGGGGGCATGCCCTAGGTGACTTGGTGGCATGAACATACCAGGAATGTGTGACCATTTTATGACAAGTGTTACTAGTGCAGTGTGGTGCTGAGCACCGACTAAAGGGGCTTTCAGAGTGTTTCAGCTGAAACACGAGGGGTTGTCATAATCATACAAATAAAATGCTGTAATTTTTCAAGGCATTTAATAGCTACTAAGGTATGAGTTCCTTCATAAAGGTGTCTGATTATGTGAGTTTGTCCACGGATTTCATTTGGTTCTTTTGGTCTAAAAACGTAGCAAAACAGAAGACTGATTAAACAAAGCCAGACTGATTAAAACACTGAAAAAAAATAAACAATACTCAAGTATGGAAATATCTCTTGACATCGCACCCATGAAAATGGCCTATTCTTATCAGGCAGGTGCACTGTCTTAACATAATGCAAGGGCAAAACCCTACGCAAAGCCAAACTTTTATTAATTTCTGCTAAGCATCTAGATTGGCTAAGCAGTATTGGTAGCTGCATGAAACTGCCCCCCCCCGGTCTGGAACAAATGAATTCAATCAATGGTAATAACTGGAGTGACATGTAACCAAAGCCCATGATTCAGAATCTCAATATATGCTAACACACTCTGGATAAATGTACAAGGTTATCTAATGTCAATGTGCGAAGTCGTGTTCACTACCTCCACATTGCGAACGGTTGGATCTGGCATCACCTCCGGGAATTCTGGCAGCTCGATGTAGCCCGAGGCCCTGGCGTTAATGATGTGGGACAGTGAACCCAGCTGGAACTGGTCTCGGTCTAAAATCAAAGCAAAGTACAAAAACCATTACGTTCAAAAATAAAAATAAACACAAAACTGTGAAAGAACCCATCTTGAGCAGTTCAGGAAGACAAGGCAAATTGTACGGAAAAATACACCATTTTCATTTTTTGCATGAACCTTCTTTGTTTCGGCCCACATTCACTGAAAGGAAATGAAGACGTGCCCTGCCATATAGCGTAAGGGGGGGCTAGACAAGACTTGAACATCAAGGGGAACAACTCACAATAGTACCATGCCATGGGTACAGGATTCGTACGCCTGACCGTTTGAAATCTCAGCCCCAAAAGTTCCAACTAATCTCTTCTTTTCGAGTTAGCTGCACTGTCTGCACTCATCACAGAATGCCAACTGTGCACTGGAGACTGCAATCAAGCAGAAAAAGGACACGGCGTCATCGCTGTGACTCACCCTTGAAGACGGACTCAAGGACGGGCGCCGGCTTGGGGGTCAGGAAGATCTTCTTGGCATGCTTGCTGAGGGCCCCGCCTTTCTCCCCGGGGAAGATGAGCTGGCGCAGGAAGCGAGCCCGGTCACGGATGTCGTAGTTCTGGTCATACTTGGCCAAGTTCAGCACGTATTGGAATAGCAACTTGGTCTGGGAAGGGGGAAGCAAAAAGGGTCAATGTTCAGGAGAAAGAGGAAATATCGTTGTTGCAGAAACCTACAAGATAAGGAGTTTTCTGTGACGCATGACATGGTTAAAATGACTGTATCTAAGGGAAACTGAATCAGACGGTCAAAGATTACTAAAAGGAGTGTCGACTCAGCACTGCTGATGGAGTTCAAAAGCCAGGAATAAATGTTTAAGCACTTGTGGGCAGGCAAACCTAAAATAAAGCTTGTTCAAACTGTTTGCTTGATAAGACTATTCCTTCCAATAACCCATTTTTAGTCTGACGCCTGTATGTTAAACCTTATTTTCAACATCTCACTTAAAGCACCAGAGAAATTAAAGCCTATTTCAAGTCTTGCAGACGCAATAGGAGGGCAGTATTTGGTTTGGGTCAAATCTCATTTACTCAACTTAACCCTCCTATTGCGTCTGGACCACCAGACTTCAAATTGTTTGAGGAGGGAAAGGAGAACATGAAGTCTTTAGATGAAGTAGATTTTGGCTAATTTGAAAAGGTGCGGGTGACTTTTACTTATCACCAGGGTTCATACACCCTTGTGAGACAAATATTCCAGGACTTGTCCAGGATTTGCCAGGTCAAAAGTTTGATTTTGCCAGGACATAATTCAGGTTGGACACGCAATACAATATATCATAATCAACGCAACACAAGAGAAGATTGTGAAGTTATAACGTTACAGCGTATAGAAATCGAGCAGTGCAGCGACAAAGACATGACAAAATTTCTGACAGTGACAAGAGGAGACCACGAGGTAGGCCTACACACAGCTGGCAATCATAAAAAAACCTTCCCCTAGTCCATTCAACGTTAAGGTAAAAGGTCCGACACAGTCACAGGTTTACTTTTACACCGAGCATTATTAGTTTAGAATGACTGGAAATATTGAACTACGTATTAAATAAAGTACATAAATTTAATAGAGAATGATTTCAGAATTATATCAAAAACAGACAGTTCACCATGGAGTTACAAAAAACGAAGATGAAATTTGACTTCAAGAAAGTTTTGTAATGATATCCTCGGTGCCCCGCGCAAGCAAAATAGAAAGAATCACATTGTGGGCACCATCCAAAATTATTTCGCTCATAGTGCTGCATGCAGCTTGGGTGTGTTTTCGAGTGTGTAGACCATGCATGGTGAATATTGTACAACTATACTGTGCCGCATAATAGCGATAATGTACGCCGGGATGGAACAATCATGGTAAATTTTCAGTTACAGTTTATTAGATCATTTTTAGATCATTTTTGTCTCAATTTAAAAGCAACATTGATTTTACTGCAATTTCCAGGAATTGCCAGGACTTCGTTTAATTAAAAATTAAGCATTTTCCAGGACTTTCCAGGATGGGTATAAAATTCCAGGATTTTCCAGGTTTTCCATGAGGCGTGTGAACCCTGTATCACATTTATGATGAAAAATTCAATACACCTTTGGTACCTTATGTTGCCTTATAAGGGGCCATTTCATAGGGCGGCTGCGTACAAACATTGGCTTACTGCAGAAAAAAATTGCTTAGCAACAGCTGGTGATCAGCCAGAATGCCATGCACTGTGCACGGCTGGTCCCCAGCCAATATTTGCTTCAGCTCATGTAATTCCCTCAGCAGTTTCAGTAGCTTAGCAGGCAGCTCTGTGTAGAACTGCGCTCAGCTGCAAGACAACCCAGGACTACAGTATGTGTTCCCCGAACCCTCTCTCTACCTGCTTGGAATTGGTCAGGTAGAGCTTGGCTCCCAGATTCATGATCTGGAGCTTGACAATGTCCTCCTCGTTGGTGAAGTCCTTGGCCATCTTGCGCAAGACGTCGGGAGCTATTTTGGGCACCCTGTCCGAGTACTCGCCGATCAGCCACAGGATGCTGGCCCTTGCCATGGGAACCTGTGATCAGATGTGGAGACAAACAATTATGACTGTCGAGATATATTGGCTAATTAATGAACACCTCAAGAAAATTGTTATCAAGTCACATCAAACGTTTTAAACGACTACTTCAGTCAGCTGCTCACAGGGCTTATTTGTCCGAAGTGGCTACTTGTATGTTGAGGCCATCTGTGTGTAATGACGGCCAATCATCCACAGTAGCCTCTTGTACAGAACAGAGCAAGTTAGATAAGGGGCTGTTTGTTACCCACAGGTAGATTTGCTCTGCTAACCTGCGCACAACATGCATTCTGGGCACTGGACAAAATGGACTGGTGGTAAACAACTAGTCCTCGCTTGAGCTTGACTAGTGCTATATGCACCACTTGGTTATACCACTTATGTTCCATGTGGTACATTTTTGCCACCTGCTAACAGCAACCCTCCGTTCTGGACCCAATGTCATGGATACATGTATGCTGAGCAGAAATTCTTGCTTAGAACATTCACATGTGCGGCAAAATTCAGTTGTGACCCAGTCTCTATTAACCACTACCAGCCGGGGACTCCGAAATTGGAGCTGTATGGTTTATATGTGTGGCCGGGGTCTCCGAACTCGGACAAAGGAAACAGGGCCCTGTCACAAAAGACCATACTCCGAACAGAAGACCAGGCTGCTGGGTATTACCGGCATTTTTCACTCTCAAAAGTGGTTATAATCCAGCGTTATTTTGAAACTGTATACCAGGGTTTGGGGTATTTAGAGCAAGCGGATTACCACCGGGGACAAAAGCGTTCCACCACCGCAGCGATGAGCCACACAGCACCGCTGCACGCTAATCTGGCCCCTATTGAAAAGAGGTCAGCAGTGCATTGAGCCAGGTTCATGAACAAAAGACAGTTGTATAACACCGCACAATCTGGGCTCTGTTTACAAGGCTGCAGGCCTGGCTGAAATACTCGGGTGTCAATGAAGGTCACCTGTAGTGCCTACAGATTACTTTGTGCGGCTATAAACGACCATTAAATGGAATGATGAATTTTTGAAGGATTTTGAAAACGGTAAAAAATGATAGTCATGCCGGCCCAGCATCATCTACGTTGAAAAATGTCCAGCACGAAGTGGTTAATATGCATATGACATTTTGGCTGGTAACCCATGTTTGCTGAGCAAGAACTTTTTTGGTAAGCAAATTTCTGAGATTGCCAATCCCATGACTGGCAACTCCACTGGCCCCTAGGGGGGACAACTAAACTTTCTGAGACCCTGTGCGCCTATGTGGGCCCCCCCCTCGACGACACAACATCAGCAGGGTTTGCCCTACCGTGATGGCATCGGCCAATTTGGCCATGTGACGGATGATCTCCTTGTGCTCCGTGGGATTCATCTGAAGCAGCTTCTTGATCACCACCACGCTCTCAGCCACAACGGCCTCTGCAGAGGAAATGATCCCAAAAAAGCTTTCTTTTTTTTTTCAATAATCTCCAAAGCGGTCTGTATTCAGGACATTTTTCGCTGGAGTGTCTTTACAGGTCACGCCGTCCACTTGTGACCTGAGACTGCGTTCATTTCCCATTTCTTGCTGGAGAATGTTTGAGAGTTTTGCTACATGGAATTTGAGCCATTTGTCTGGAACCTCCTGAAAGGAAACTTCTTACTAACTGAACAGGGAAATGTAGCTGAATTATCATAAAATCAACGTATTATTCTGAATATGAAACTGAATAACATTTGTTCCATGACAAGTGAGTTGACTGCAACTAAGCAAAGCATCGGGAAGAGTTCCATACACGGACATAACTTAACACCCTGAACACAAACCCCATGAGACTGGTATGAAACATTCCAAATATTTCCTTACTGAATGCTTCAATAGTTCCCCTGCTAACTATGACATGATTTGATTGTATATGGAACTCTTTCCAAAATATCTTTAACATCCATCAAAATTTGAGGAAATGGTTCACAGTGCAAACGGATTAAATATGGCACTTATTGTACGCAAGACCATGTTATCACCAACACGTTTCATACATTGAGGTTAATACAGACAGTTCACAGTGGTGCGCCTCCAAGAGTTTGCAACACGTTGGCCAATCACAAATGCATGAAATCTGTCAACCCTTTCCCTTGCGCATTGGGTCGACTGATTTCGCGCACTGTGATTAGCCAACGCGTTGCAAACTCTTGGAGGCGCACTATTGCGAATTGCCCGTATTGAAGTGACACTGTACTCTACTACGATATTCTTGAAAGACAGAGTATCTGCTGGCTGACAGTCAATGTCTCACCGTCTCTGTTGGACATCAGTCCCATGAGCCCATTCATACAGGAATCCGTCACCTCCGAGATGTTACTGGCGCACCTGCCTATGGCCTGGATGGTGGCTGCTACAAAGTCCTTGTCAGAGCTGGTCACATAGGTCTGGACAAAAGGGGAGGGGAGAGGTGAGAGAATGCTCTAAAAAGAGCAAGGAAATTAAGCAGCTTTAACCACTTCACGCCAGTGGCAGTTAATATCAATGTTGATGATGCTGGGTCGGGATAATTATCATTTTTTTCTGTTTTCAAAATTCTTTAGAAATTCCTATCTTTATTTACTGGACACTTATACCCACATGAAGGACCGTCTGGTTTCTACTCTAATCTGACAGACGTCATCTATTGACACTGGAGTATTTCAGCCAGGCCTGCTTCCTTGTAAAATGAGCCCAGATTTTATGGTCTAACATAATTTTCTTTTGTTCACGAAACTGGCACTGTGCGCTGCTGACCTCTTTTCAATAGGGGCCAGGTGCAGCGGTACTGTGTGGCTCATCGCTGTGATGGTGGTGCGCTTTTGTCCCTGGTGGTAATCCGTTCAATGTGAGATGTCCACTCTTCCAGGAAAGGTAGGCAAAAATTGTAACCTTCCCCACTGACATGCTCAACACACTACCACACAAGCACAAAAGTGTGAAAAAAACACAATCAAAGAAGACAAACCCTTCGTTACATGGATTTGAAGCTTCATATGTACTTAAAACAATGTCTTTACAAGTATGTCCAGTTTCAAAAAGATAACAGGTGGATACCAGCCGTTAGAAAGTCTGGAAAAACCTGGCCCTTTTGGAATTAAGAGTGTCAGATCACCATTTTCAAAACACAATTTCGGAAAGACTTGCACAGAAAAACACACCTGTAATTCCCGCAGGATGGTGGCGATGCTGGTCTCGCTGGCGATGTTGGTCAGAATCTCCAGCTTGAGAAGCCGGATGTGAGTGGGGTCGCTGGACCGGACGAAGAAGCTCTTTAGGAATGGCTCGAACATGCCGCGCCGCTTGGCACTCATGGTGGCAACATTGCTGAGGACAACGGACTGAACCTCCCTGGTCAGGAAAAAAAAGAGGGGGAAGGGAGTACAAATTGGTTTTACATGAGCCTGTTCCCCATTTCAACATCATACACTCAAAATGACGTTGCAGGTCATTTGACATCAGTATGTGCTTAGAGGTCGACCCCACCAGCAAGGCCATACGCCGACCTACAACCTACGAATATGTTCCAACTGTGGTAAAATCAGGCATTTCATTTTATGGAAATGCGTAACCAGCTCAATAGGCATTTCCAAAATATTTATTTGTCAGAATTTGTTAGCACTGAACTAGCAGTGCTGCATACTCCTTCTATTTCTAATTGTTTGGGGGAAACAATTTCGTCTTTACCTGTGACTCCTCAGTAGTCGGACCAAAGGCTTAGCAATCATGCCAACTTCGTTTTTCGGAGCCAGATGGTGGTACATCTGTGCAACAGCCATCACCACCTGTGCCAAAAAAACCCACAGAAAACAAACCTTTCCAACTGTTGATTTTAACTTTAAATTATGATGCCCAAAAAACTTCTAATACATATTTTTCTGCTCAATCTTGGCTTAACATCCAAGGGCTTGGATGTCGGTAACTCTTTCAAAGAATTTCCTGCGTCTGACTCACGGCTGAATTCCTACTCTGGAGGAGGGGCTTGACGCTCCTAAGTAGGAGGCGGTGATCGGCATCCATTACATAGGGCTTCTTGACCGGTTCCTTGTCCTTCTCCTCCTCATCCCCCTTGTCGCTGTCTGATCCGTAGAACGACTTCTCTTGCTCCTCTTGAATCATGTCCTGAGAAGGCAACGAGAGTAGCCGTAAATCTGGACGTGGGCAGCACAAATTGCCCCCCTGTAGCTGGTATCATGATACGGTGGCCCTTCAGAAGTTATTAGAAAATATGATTGGAGACGTGTATACATATGAGCACACTTCAAATTGCATTCTGCCTGAAAAACAGAAATTTACCCTACTCCAGCAGGAGAAATAATAGCCACGCCCCTCTTGACTTGCATCAACCACTGGATTAAAGCATCTAATCTGTTGCCCAATGCGGGGGTATTGAAATTCGCCTTCCATTTCACAAATTTGGAAATATTTGAACCCCGACCCCCTTGGGTGTATTTAAATCACACTGAAATCGGAGGATTGAGGACTGTTAGGATTACGCAACCTGTATGAGGACGATCACGGCTCTTAGGAGAGCTATTGGTGTTCTTTTTTTATAAAAATATTTTATAAAAGCAGGTTCGTTTTAATAATAAAATTAACATTTATAATGCGCCAATTTCATACAAATGATCAAAGGCGCATTACATTACTGAAGAATAAGAAGGGATGAAAAATAAGAGATTAGATTAAATAAATCAACATCAAATAACATCAATGTATCTCATTGTAACTTGATGGCAAGTATCTAATTCTTCCACAGGAAAACAAGTATTTTCATTACCCTTAAAACAGCTTGTTCACGTCAGTTTGATTTTAAATGTAAGAGTCGAGGAATCAAGAAGCTGCAACGACGATAATCACTATATTTATGTTCAACAAATGACACCATGCTAATGTTCAATGGCAGCAAATGATACACAATTACATTTGGCTTAAGTCACAGTCTTCCTACGTCGTACAAAGCAACTACCCTGACACAACTACCGGTGTCAAGTAAACAACAACGTACAGTGTACAACAAATTTGGTGTCAAGCGTATTCACACTCACGGCTTTGTTTGGGTCCAGGAACTGTGTCCTGGCATATCTAGTCAGCATGTTGATGATGACCACCTGCCCCCACTCTTCCACGTCAATTAGCAGGTTGCACAGCTTGCGGAAGTTCTTGTGGATGAGATCGATGCGGTCTGGGCAAACCTCCTCAAAGGCGTTCACCACGCTGCCGGCCACAAGCTGTCGGAGGCAACGGAGTCAGCTATCATTTTTATCCAGTGTCTTTTACTGGTTTTCTTTTAACAACTAGCATGTATGCCCAAGTTCTGCATACACATGAAGAAACCTTGCATATTCATGACATGAGCTATGTGAGCACGTGCAGTCTCCTCTCTGGTGTAAAAGGTAGAGGTGGGGCTGACACTTGTTTGCCTTTGCTGCCATGCCCCCAGTGGTGTTCTGGTGAAACTATTTACTCATGCTCATTACCATATGAATACAAACACAAGTACATTCACACCTACAGCGTGTTGACCTAATGGGGTGGGAATTTTCTTGCTAGACAAGTAGCAAACTTTAAAGGAATAAGGAATGAGCAGTTTGGCTCCCAAAAGCTGTTTGACCTCTACACCTGGTACCAACTTCATAGAGCTGCTTAAGCACAAAATTTACTTAAGCGAGAGAAAACCTTGCTTGATAAATAAGGTAACCAGCCAAAACTCCATGTGATGTATATTGTTTTGGGATTGTATTTAGCTGTCTCTTGGTTAGCATGACAATCAGATAGAGTTTGACCTGGTAACCTTTGTTTTTTTAAGCAAGGTTTTATCACACTTAAGCAAAGTTTGTGCTTAAGCAGCTCTGTGAAATTGGCCCCTTGCAACAAAACTCCGTCAGTGCAGGGCCAGTAATGATGTCGCAAGGATCAGATATCTATCACATTTCCTGAGGTGATGAGGTGCCCAGGGAAATGGTAAGTAAAGGTGGCCTTACTTGAACAGCATGAGTTTAATTTACACTTGGAATTACATTCGAAACTAATTTATCACTACCATCTTCAGTGAAATCCACTTTATTTTACCGTGGTCTTGTCGGCCAGTAGCTTTTCAATGACTTCAATTAGCTGGTCCTTCTGCTCGGGATCAAGACTGGTATATAAAAACAACAAACAAAACAAAGGGTGAATAGTCCCTATCGGTCAACAATAAAATTCTCAACGGATATGTTACATGCAAAGAAGGATATACTTGGCGGTTAATAGAATATATGTCTCCTTTTTCCTACCTGTATAGCTTTGGGATAGCATGGGCAGCAGTCTTCCTGACGTAGGGTGACATATCGTTCACGCTCTCCTTGATTGCCAGCATCATGATCGGGACGATCATTGGAACGCGGATGCTGGACAGGACCCTCAGGGCTGAGGCTCGGATCAGCTGGTTAGGATCCTGAGTCCAAGAGAAGGGTACAAAATTCACGGCTTTTAATATGGAAAGATAGGAAGATATACAACAAGTCAGACTGTAGGGCTGACCAGTTTAACAAAGGCAATGCAATGGGTACAAGGTATTTGGCAAGTGCAAGTTAAATAGAACTTCTTTATCGTTCATTCCTAACGTGAAGGCTGGTTTTGATAGGATGTTTTGACTGGAGGTACACCCTCAATGGTAAAGAAGACACAGTCGAGTGGGAAGTTCTTAAACTGGGCTCATTCCCACACCGGCAGACATGTGAAGACTGACAGAAACTGGTTGTTGCCCGGGCCAAAGAAGTATGCACCTGGGTGCCTTCACAGTGTGAGTTCCCACCCCAGTGATGTCATCGCAATGTGAAAACGGAACATTTCTTCTTCCTCCGTGGAGAGGATGAATGCCGGTGCAATCAGCCAGTTTGGTACAGAGTACCGAAGCGTGACACCATTTGAGCCAGGAAGCGTAGTGCAAATGAATGGAGCATGTGCACGTGTTGGTTCACAGGCTGGTTCTCGCCCTGATGCCTTTTACGCAACCCAATCGTGCGTGTGACGTATTCACTTCGGGATTCTATTCCAACTGAGAGTGCCCAAAATGAAGCCCGTGAAGGTCACTCGGATGTGTACGGGCAAGGTCAACCCTATCAGCACGGCCCTTCATGGACTCATGAAGCGATTCTTTGCTCCCAAATGACAGATAGGCATGATTTTCTTACCTTCAGGCCTTTCTGGAATGTGCTGATGGACAGCAGGGCTAGGTCTTGCTGCTCCTCAGCATAGCGCACCAGGTAAACGTACACCAACTTCTTGACCTGCAGTGAAAAATACACGTACATTAATAAAATACGCCAAATTTATGAGAAGTAAACAATAAATGCTTCAGTACCTGCAGGTGTACATGTTTTCATCACTTGAAAAGGGAAAAACGCCCTGACAATGAATTCTGGGAGTTGGTAATAGTGTTCCAGTGTTGCAAAAAATAACTCCCTGGATTCAATCTCTTGAAAAGTTTTATTAGGGTTGGGGACTAGGGAGGGGTCATTAGGGGAAGGAATTAGGTGAGTCAGGTTGGCCTTGTGGTTCTTTCCTCGCCTTCCACCTCTGCAGCCCGGGTTCGAACCCTGGCCCGGTCCACATAGGGATTGGGTTTTCAACCCTCACCTGATTCCATGGGTTTCACCCAGAATATTCCCCTGGGGTTTTTCCCCACCTCTAAAACCATAACTGCTTCTCATTGTCTCCTCTCTACAGGTTTCTTCAGGCTTGCAAGCTACAGTGCCTAGGGTGCTTTTGAGAAATCCTTGGTGTCATTACCAGAAATGATCAATAATAATTATAATAATTATAAGATATACCAAATGTATCTTAACAATGGTAAAACATTAGCTTTCCAGACGCTTCAAACTCACCTGGTCTTGGTAAATTTTGAAAGATCAAGCTTGTTGTGCGAATTAATCTACACCTCTTCATTATATGACGATTTTTGGCATCCCTCTAGGGTTAAGTGTAGTGCAAAGAGCCTTTTTATAAAACTTCACAATTGTCCATACTTTTTGGGACAACTGAGGGCACTGGTGCTGTTAAATCAATCAGGGAAGACAGTTCCGTAATTCATTTCGTAGGTTTTTCTTTTCTGTGAAACAAAGGGAGGGAGGTGCCTTGCTACCTTCATTCAATATGCAATAATTTACCAACCTTTAGTCACCCTCATATGGTGTGATTCGACCAGCAGAATTAGAAGCCATTACTGCAGTGGCACAACGCTCGTGGACAGGTGGTATGCGCGCGTTATATGCCTCTTCAACCAACAAAGTGTCGTGATTTGCCAAATGCATGCGTGTGTCAAGTTGAAGAATGTGCGTGTGCCTGAAGTACCACTGCAGTTATGGCATCTAATCAGATTAGTCTATACACAAATATCCAATGTGCAGTCATCAGTGAACATAATGCCGAATTAATTTACCTCTATGCTCTTGGAGACAACATTTTTGACGACAGCGGCAAAAAGGTCTGATGCGTCCTTACCCTTTGCAATCATCTGGAAAGGACAATTAAGATAAGATACACATCGCTATACACAAATCAAAATTTAAGTGTTAGTTGTGGTACGGAAACGTTTCAAGAGTGGATTTCTTTCTTTGGACACTTCACTCCTTGCTTAACTGACGAGATACAACGTAAAGAGAAAGAAACCACTGTTGGTTAATAATACCCGCAAGGATTTGAAAAGATCCTGTTACCTTACCCGTAAACTTGCCCAGGAAGTTATAAAGATAACAGATTTGTTCAGTTTGGACTGCTAGATATATGTATTTTTTTAGATGGGGGGCTGGTAGTCCAATAATACTCACTCCAATGATTCTCTTCATGGCCTCAAGTTTCAGATTATCCTTGCTTCCATCCAGCATGGACTTCAAATCTTCATGCCTACAAAACAAGATCCATAAAGGCAGTGAGTGATCGCCGAAAAAAATAAGTTCACTCAAGCATGCAGAGACTTGCTTGGTGCTGTATAAAATGCATGTCATGGGCATGAGCTTTCTCAATGTCGGTATACAACTGCAGGGATATTCGTAATGTCCTTGTACGGAATTGTTCCCTACAATAACTTTACCTTTAGAATAGAAACAAGTGCGAACAGTCAATCGCCACAAACATTGACTTGTTACCGTAGATTCTTTTGAACAATATTTTGCTGCTATTTCTTGCCCCAACCGATATTGGCTTAGACGGGGCCCAATATCACAGAGATGCTTTACAGTTACCAGAAAATGTCAAGCTGTACTGAAATGATTGTAACAGAAAATTTTCCTAACCTTCAGCACTATTTCATGGCAATGCTTGGCCCGGTTGTGCTCATGGCTGCACGCGCAAACAGATTTCTGTTGTGACGTCACAAACACCCGTTTCAGAGAGGTGTTCTAGAGTTGCACTGAACCAAAAAGTATTGTTCAATTGTCCCCTGTTCCTCCCCACAATGCCTTTCTACTGTGGGGATCTGGTGATACTTGGCTGCTCATTTAATAATCATAGGCATGCAGAGTTTACTCCTTTAAAAATTAACATGCATGATCAGGAGTGGCTGCAGTGGAATGCTATGCACTGCCTTGATAATGGTTGCCCTGTGCACGAGGAGAAGTAGGCCACTTCCATTCCAACGTCACCTGACGGATTTTGTGTAATAGATCTAATTAATTTCCTTTTTGGGCCTATGTTGCAAAGCAGTCACGAAAAATAGCCAAATCGATGTCATGTGGCCCCCCGGCCCTATTCTCATAGTAGACTCTTTATTATTTTAGTACTGTTTTTGTAGACAAAGTGCGGTAATGCAAAAGTTTGCTTAAGTTCATCCTCTTTTAGCGTCGCCTCTGAAAATTCTGAACAATCATTTCCGGCTAGGGAGAGAGGCTAGCTACTGCTGAGCGGTAACACTAAAAGGGCTGATAAGCCTACAAGCAGGAGCGTTGGGGGCTTCAATTTCGGGTACCGACTAAAAAGAATAAAGCAATCGGACACGAGCAAGACCATGTGGCTTCTGTCTTACTGATTTCCATTCTCTCTTGCCCTCTTTGGAGAAGACTCTCCATTATTGCCCTCACCGGTCGACTATACATTCATGGCAATGTGGATTTACAACACCACAAATACCACAAAATCACTCATGTGGTATTAGTTATGTGGCTTACTGTCACCAGATCCCTCATTTGGCCACTCGCTGTGAATAACAAGCGTGACAATACATGTACTTGTAACTGTTGAAATAAGGGACCTGGCGACTATAGTATTAGTAGGCCTGTAGGCCTACTGTCACAGGCTTTAGTTACTTTAGCTAACGGAGGAGTCCGGCACTTTTCAGGTTTTTTGTTTGACCCCCACAAATTTAGTACTGTTGGAAAGAGAATTTTAAAAGAAATTGATTGGTATAAAATTTAGCTCAATAGCTAATAGTATGGTGAAGTTATTGATTTTGTTGTCATTAAAATTAGGTGTGATTAGTCTGTCACTTTTGGGGGGCGGACACAAGTTTTACTTTCATCAATGTATTTGAACCACATGGAGTCTTATTCCTCATCGGTTCTACTTCCAGACATGCCAGATTTGAACAAAGATCTGTAATTAAGTCACTGATAAAGTGTAAAGTAAACAATATCTTTTATTATGGAGAACTTTATCAATAGTAAACATAGGATACATGTACATGTATACAATACAGTAACAGGACAGTTCAGTTGGGATTGACACTTTTAGTAATGTGTGAAAGATCACTGAAGCATAGTTTTGAAGTGATATTTTGTCATCAATAAATAGCTATAAAATAGAGGACTAAATCTGTCAGGTGTCATAAGGCCTGTCATGAAAATATTCTAAGGTAAGGACTGCCGTGATATGTTTGCTTTAATTAGCTAACACTGACATTGGACTGAAACACACATGCATGACACATATGTCACAGTAGAAAAGCATGACAGATGCCAACTTCAACCCATTGTGTCGGAAATACAAGCGGGTGACAATATGTAAAACAAGCACACATAACGCTGCAGACTAACGTAATAACTTAAGCCTACTTTTTGTAGTCGGCTGCGAAAAATCCACCACTTGCAGGATCGCTGGCGACATCTGGCTCCACAGGTCCCGTCGATGGGGTTTTTTCATTGGCGTAAGACCGCGGCTCGGTGTTGCTGTGATGCGCCATGGTGCTCGGATCCTGTGCAGAAAAAGCAACAAAATCACGTCAAGCCCGGCTTTTCAGCTGTGCTAGCAGACAGGCAGACGTCCCACACATAAATACACACGTCAATAATATGGTACCGAAACTGCAACTAAATGTTCAACCTCATATCCATTCATCATTATGATAAGAAAATTTACGAACGCGAGCACGCTAATATGTTCACGCCGGTTAAAGTCTCCAAGATTTTCTGGGAACGACGTGGACCCAAGATGCGTCATCTAACTAGTAGTTGATTAACCAACCGGTTTGGTTTAGTGCGTCTTTAAAGAGGTGGTACAATTCCATCTGTTTTCTTCTCTCCAGGCCTCTTTAACATGCCCTCGTGACTCAGTTACAATTTTAATTAATATTGAAATACAAAACGCAATTGAAGTAAAGTAAGCATGCCACGTGGAAGTGATTTTTTCTCTCTTTTGTTTTTGTAGTCATATCACACTCACAGCATTAAACCCTCACTTTAAAGTTGTAATGACGCCTGTAATGCTAATGCGCGTGCGCTGTAGACATGGCACGTTCCGCCATCTTCTCGTGACCGGTGGTAATCAAGCCTACACAGCGGTACATTATTTTCAGACGACAGATGAAAACACCGGAAAAAATTATCGTTGTATTTCAGTCGTTGTAATTTTCTTGTTTGGCTTTGACGCCACATTTTTTGACAAGATCGACGAAATATAGTATGACAGATTACGATAGCAACCCTTTTGCTGATCCCGAGGCTGCTAATCCTTTTCAGGTAAGATTGGGAACGTGTGATGGCAGCCGGCCGTCGTCTGTGCTGTGGCTGCCGCCGTCGCAAGTGGCGGATTACCGCTATACCCGGCCGGCAAAAAGTGTAAACTAGCCGACGACGTGGTGGGCGTAGTTAGCTACAGGCACCAAAACCATGCCAGTGCAGCATCGTACGCGTATCGGGTGTTTTTTCCATTGACACATAAATTAAACTTGAAAAGGTCTAGTCGTCCAGTCCTTATGCCAATTCGAGCTTGGCCATGTGTTCTGTAAAGGTGGTCTAGGCCCTTTTTAGGCACCATTCATTGCATTTGCCGTAGGCCCCTAATTTGAAAAAAATCGTAGCCTAATTTGGCCGGAGGTTATAAATTTGTTTTGGATTTTATTCCGTTGCATGTTTCAAGTTTTTTGAGTTGACTGCTTTGAAAACAGAAAAGGTAAATGCTGTTCATTTTAATTTCAACACTCCAACTAAAAGTGCAGCTCATGTAATTTGTCTTGATAAAAATCCATGGTTGATGGACCACAGGACATTTCTAAGTGCCGAAGAAATGTTCAGGTGGAAAGAGTTCCATGTATGGATGCCACTTGGCACCCCATGCACAAGCCCTACATGTATGAGACAGGTCTGAAAAATTGTAAGTGTTTTCTCAGTAAACGTCTTGGTAATTTCCCTCCTATGATGTAGTACAGTGACTGCAGTCACAATGCAGTACATACATGTACATTTCTCTCATATGCACATCTATCTAAAGCCATCCACATGCCTTAAGTGTACATCATTAACATATGTATCAATCAACAGATGTAGTGCACTTACAATGTAACCACCCTTATGTTATGGGCAAAAAAGTTAATTGTTGTTGAAGAAAATAGGAGAAACTGTCTGAAAATTGCAGATTTTTGTTCAAGACAACAGGCTTTGCCATGGACTTCTGAGGGGAGTGGCCAATTTGCCAAGCATTTAGGGGTGGTTGTGGGCTGGTGATTTTTTGCATGAGTTACATGTACATGTACACTCCTGTTTCATAAAGAAAGTTTAAATTCTCTCTGATCCAAATTCTTCAACCTGTTGTAACCCGTGAATATGTATCACACTCATTTTTTGTTGTGCCTACTAACGGTTGTGTGTAAATGAAGCATTTCTTTCTTCTCGTGAGTCCCATGATATCGGGCCACCATGTGCTGACATATGCCACATTCCACTTTGCCAGACAAGTCTGTAGGTATAGTTCTAAAACTGTGATGTATACCGGTATGAAACTCCTATATACATGTATGTAAGGCCCACAATATATGGAGGTACATTTAGACCAAGCTCTAATGACGTCTGGCCCTGTATGGGCCCAGCTGCATGAACATGTACTGTACAGACACCTGTATGTAGTTCACAAGTAGGCCTTGGGGGAAAAATTCTATATCAGGCCAACACAACTTCTGGCAAGAGAACCAAATCTGGCCTCTGTGTACACTGTATGTGCTACTAAACAAACGTAATAAATTCCACCCCACTGGGTATTTTCATGAAAACAAGTCAACAAGGCTAAGAAAAATTGCTGTAGGTCGTACTGTACATGTTTTTTAGTGATTATAAAACAAGAAACAAGGTGATATATTGACTCTCCAGCCACCTGTTAAGAGAAAAAGGCTGCTTCCTGATTTCATTTTGTTGTCTCATCGGGATAGGTACTTCAAAAGACCTAATTCCAGGTTAAGTCAAAATGTAATGCAAGGCAGGCTAGCTTCAGTGTTTTGATACCGAGGTGTATGAGCTTAAAGTGAACATATCTGTTTTTTTCCCCAAATTATTGTTAATTAAATTCAGAAACCTTTCCAATTTTGGTGGTAATCTTGTCTGGAAATTCTGTAAGTTTGGAAGATAAAGATGTTGATCAAAACCATCCTTTGACTCAGAAAACAAATACCACATAGCGGTACATCACTTGCAAAGTCTGTTTGCAGCGCTGAAATATTTACTCAGCGAAACACAAAGAGATATTGCATGGACCTATGTCCTGCAATTCATAGAGTGTTGCGTGACTCAGACAGATTGTGATATGGTCCACAAGAATCTGTGGGGTGTCCACTCAGTCAACAATGAAGTCACGCTCACATGATGCCTTGTATGCCTGCAAGTACTGCATTCCCCATTGTACGCTAGCCCCCTTTGTAAGGTGTACCGATACGTCACACTTTTCACAGCCTGTCAATTAGGGTGCGTGTAGGGGGTGGACGTGTATAATTTTTGGCCTGTACTCAACCAGATGAAAGAAGTCATACTGCACTGATGTCTGTGGCAGTTATGCACGTGTGCATGTACGTACATGCACTGTTTGTATAAATTTGTCAGCAAGTTGGACAAATACAGTGTACAAAATGTAAGGTCACCTCGCAGAAAACAAAATTTGATAAGTATTCTTTTAAACACTGCCATTTCCTTCAGACCCGATCAGAATTCTGGATGAACATGAAAACTGAAGAGTGTTTTGAATTTTTTTTAGGGGGGGAGGGGCTTCTGGTACATATTCTCTTAACCCTTGCCACCTTCCAAATCCGCTAGATGGTTTGGAGGATTTGGGAGGAATGAGGAAAATTGGTAAAAAAAAAAGTGTGGCTGATTGCAAAGAATGCATTGTGTCACAGGATCTTGGGTTAGACCTTACGGTGTTGTTCATGCTCAGCCATGCATAAATTTATGACTCGATTATGTACATGAAATCATCAATACTGTACCAGGATACCATGTGCTTTACCTCAACATGAAGGTAGGAATTGCCGGAGGATTTTGAAGGATTGAGGAGTGGCCACCCTATCCAAGGAGCACATTGAAGAAATAATGGAAAATTTTGGAGGAGTTTACGATGAATGCATGGGGGAGTGAGGGATGGTGGGTGGGGCAGGGCAGTCAGAGGATTTGAAGGATTGAGGATGTGCCCTAGCTCCTTGACCTAACTTCTTTCACTGCTTGCCAAGTCAGCAGATGTTGTAAAACTTCTAATACTTCTCCTGACTGAAGTTTGAGGACTGTTGAGGTTTAATTAAGCTTCTCTAGCTTTTTTCCCAAGAAACTTCGAGAATCTTGCAAAATCTGCCACAGTGCTGGAAATGTAAGTACAGTACAAACTGTATTCAGAGAATATGAGTTCAAGCCCTTGGCCAAGAAAATAGTGACTAGGTCTTGCCTTCAAGAGCACTTTTAAATCTTCCCACCCATTTGGGAGATTCGGAAGGATCTGACAGGTTGATATTTAATCTGGTTATTGAATAAATCCTGTCACCAAAAATCATCCAAATCCACACCAGATTTTTCTAATTTTGTAATTGACTCAGCAGCTCAGTTGATCTGTGACTCAGTCAAATAAAATGAGTCAGGAGTCACCAGAATCACTTTTGAGTTATACACCTTCAAAAGAATCTTGCACAAATGCTAAAATCAATAAAAATGTTCAACATTTTTCACCCACATAACTAGTCTTTCTCTTCAGTATGCCAAAATGATTCACACATCAAAACAAAGAGCTAAATTTTCTCCTAATGTCATGAATGTAAACTAAAACAGAATTTACATGTATTGAAAGATAGCCGTAGTCAGTTTGTGGGATATACGGCAGTCACCATTTTGTTCAAGTACGAAGAATGCTTACTTCTGTCTCTACAAAAACATTAGTTTGGAAGAGCCTGCATGAGCACACAAGCTATCACTGCCAGGGAACTTTAAACCCAAGGGCAAAACACTGTTATGTTATGAGTCCACAGATAAATACAGGTACACCTAGGTATGCAACAAGCCCTCTTCTCATCAGCTGATTCACTGACCAATTCCATGACCCTATAGCTACATGTTTTTTTCTGATGAACTTGGCATAGTAGAATTTAAATTTCTGGAGTGCTTGATGGACATTAAAAGAGACTTAAAGCAAATGTTTTGTCCTTTACATACTATGATGATGCACACGGGACATAATTTACACTTGACAACATATCCTATGCATTGTGCTCATATGAAAGCCTTTTGTGTATGTCACTGTCGCCATAAAACTCAACAATCCTAAACTAGACTCTAAATATGGCACGTAAAACCGGTTGGTTTGTGAATACCATGCAAGAAGACTGAAGAAGTTCATGCATGCTGTGTACCTGTATTTTAGCTGGTACCCTGCAACACTCACCCAGTATCTGCTGCTGAAGTCAGATAGCCCCATCATCCTCTCTAACTGTTGCAGTCTCATGATGCTCGTCTGAAACGACATTGTACCACACTACATGTAGGCACTGACGAGGCCTCTCATATTACATGCATGTATGTAGCTAAATTAGGTGCAGTGTACATGTACATGCATGTTTATACACAGTTTGCAGCGTTTATGTAGGCAAGAACTGAATACAATGTTGAAGACTGCATGTACATGTACACGTACATGTTTGCTGTATTGGTCCTGCTATTACAATATGGCTATAACTTGCCATCTAAACGTGTGCTGTTACATGTACAACCAGCCGGCTGCATTTCAATGCTTGATATTTTGCCAGATGGCGGTAACAGAACAGCATGCATAAGTAGGAAAATACGGTCACAGCTGACTTCACTTCAGGGCTGGATTTCAGACAGATTTATGAATTGTGATGTTATGTGTTCACATATATGTACACAAAGTCTACATGTATGTATACACAATTTTATGATATGCACAGAGGCCATCTGTTAAAACCATGGAGGAATTCTTATTCCTATGTGGTTAAACTACATGTACATGTATAATAAATTGTGCTTCCTGAATATATCCCATACTGATTGTTTATGTACGTGTATGTGCATATGTGTACATGCATGCAGAATCACGTACCCTATAGAGTACCGAAGTGTGACGTCACTGTGAACCAGAAAGTGCCGTGCAAACGAATGGAGTACGCGGGCGTGTTGGTCAACACGCTGGTTCTCGCCCCATCTTGCCTTTTACACACTAATTGTGCACATGACGTATTCACTTCGACACCCCATACCCAGCGCTGTATGGTGCGACCAGAACAGTTGCAATTGCGCCTAAAAAAAGTTTGATGTGCGACCAAATGTTTAATTCTTATCGCCAGTAGCGACCGTTATTTGCGCCCATGAGTCGCCCATCTTGTCAGTCATATAATTTCACAAACGATCGCTGCTCAGTTTTCTTCTGTGTGCACCTAGGGATGTGTCTCTATTACATCACACATTTTTTTCTCTGTCTTTACCTCATGTACTCTGTGTACAGAGCATGCGCCCATATTAACTGCAATGTACATGTAACTTACATGGTACATACATGTACATGCACGTACAGGTACATGTACAGTGTACCAGGTACCCGAGTTGACTAGTTTGTGGTCTCACACTATATAGAGTGTGTGTGGGGAACTGAGATGTTTCACGTATTCGCAATGCACCAGCAGTCTATGCATGCCACTGCAATAAACTTGTTTCAGTCCAAAATGTATTTTGAAGTTTGAAACCAAAGCTCCCCTTGGTCCGGTCTGGTCCCAGGTACGAAATAATCAAACGTAAGTATACCTTTCCTTTTCTTTCAGTTTTTTTTTCTTTCGTATAATTGGTTGCCATTTTTTACATAGTCCATAAGCACAAACTCCAAAGCAGTCAGTGCAGATAATTGACAGAATGATGTTTCTGTGTGTGTCAGATTTTGTACATGTATGTACATGTAACTTGGGGTTTTTTTTGGCAAATGAGTGTAAAGTATGTACAAAAATCGACCTGGCGCCTTTTTTTTCTCCAGGAGCCAGTGGCTCCTCCTTATCATTTTTCTCCCCACAGCACTGCCTATACCTGTACATTTGTAAACGGGCGTACACTTATTTTGGGTGGCCTTTTTTGCTTAAATACCTGCAGATAGTATTTGCATACTGTACTGATTCAAGCCTTTGTTTTATATTTTTTCCTATCCAATATCAAATAAAACTGCAGAACTTCAGTTACCCTACATGTGCAGTGTACGGTATATACTATTAGTACGCTGTGAAAACTAAGGTCCTAAAAGTGTTGGGACACAGCATACAAGTACATGTACTGTCAATTGTGGATAGCCATTACCAGCTTCTGATCAGACATACGTGTACCAGTACATGTAATTATGACAAAGGTCACCTTAGAACATACTCCCACAGTTTAAATGTAATGTACTTGTAAATGTCTCAAACTGAGAAAAAAAAAGAGTAAAAGCAACAGGGTTATGTTTCTGGAGATTTTAACTTGACATTTCCTGAGGACATTCTGTCGAACCAAATCTTTTGGTGGTGTGACAAATGCTGTTTGTGGCTGAGAAAATGGCCGATGTCTGACCGTAAGTTCGAGCCCTGTAGGGTGAATGGTACACTGTCTTCTCTCTGTTGTTGTCAGATCCTATGTTAATTTTGTTAAAGGCGTTATTAAATCAAGTACGTGTGTGTCCATTGATTTTGCACGCAGCAGTTACCACATCGTACGGCATCTTTGCATGTAATTATCCAAGCACATGTGTACCACTGGATTCTATTGATTTTTCACATGCATTTTGATGCATTGGTCCATGGAAGTATAGCTTCATGCTCATTACATACAGGAACACATGTACATGTGTTTACAGCCAGTGTACATGTACACATGTAGCTCCGCACCTTACATGCTACATGTACATGTACATTTATACATGTACATGTATGCCTGTACCAAATGTACACATGTTTGGCAGTTGGTGCGTACATACACAGGTACATGTGTACAAATGTAGGTGCATACCGTACATGTGCATACAGTGTACATTTACATGTTTAGGTACATGTAGCAGTACATGTACCAGTACGGAGACGCATGTACATGTGAAGAACACACTGCACATGTATGTACATGTACCTTCATGTCCATGTACATGTATAATGTACTCATCATTCACGCAGCAGTGATGCTTGCCACACAAGTCCTTGTATGTTCATTTTGTTCATATGATGTAGACGAATAATAAGGCAAGTACAATGGACTGGGGGTAGGATTGGAATCCATTACTGTGGTGGTACCACTTTTGTGCGGAAGTCGTGCGTGCACCTGTACACGCACCTGTTATTTGTCTCTTCATTCAGTGAGATGTTGTGTCTAGTCCACATTTGTGTACATGCCTCAGCTTGGCCAAGTCAACTTTACTGCTTGTGCCTGTCATGTGCAAGTGGTTCCACCACACTGATGGCATCTTGTCTGATTAGTCTCTAGGCCATGGTTTGATTAGATTGATCGGTTTTCTGCTGATGATTTGGTTTCTGTGTCTTTTTGAACTTTGGAAAAAAGTTGAATCAATACACATCCACCTTGTTACATGTACCTTGGCATGATTCCTGTCATCACTGTTTTGACTACTGATAGCTTGTATGTATTTGAGGAAGAGTATAGTCTGGCACTGCATTTACTATGAGTAAGTTACTGTATAAAAAGGTAGGACTGAGACCCCTTTGGCATTCTGCAGCATACACTCTAGCCATGGTGTATGAATGAACATGTTGCTACATGTAGCTTCATCTACATGTACACATGGTACATGTACATGTATGCACCATTCATGATATCGTAGGCCTTCAGTTTATTTCCACAGTCATACATGTATTTATGAGCAAAAAATACAGTAAAGTTACATGTACGTTTGCATACAGGCACTAAGCTGCAATTTTGGCACAACTTGTTGGAAAAAACACATCTGAAACATGTAATCACACGCTGAAATTTCTTTGCCAGTACCTGTTGTTTGGAATTTCCATGGGTTTTTCTTGGCATTCCCAGTGTCACACCCGAGTGTTATATTTTTACGGTGCTTCGATAGCTACATGTATCAGGTACATAGCCTGGCGAAATAGCAGCATTGGATTGTTTTCTGTACAGGAAAGTTTGCAAAGTGCATGCCATACTGTACCATACATTCAGAAGGAAGGGGGAATTATGCTTGATGTTCACCTTGCCCTCTGTGCATGTGCATGGAAAGGTCTGCCATCCGGGACCCACTTCTGGAAAATTTTGCCAACGTCATCACGGGGGAGGGCACACAAAACAAGCATTTGCACGGGACATTTTAATCTGAATGTGTAAAGCATAAAGGCCGGTTCCTACTTCACGCAAATGGGAAAGCAAAATGAATGTGACATCATCAAAATGTTTGCAGCAAAATTTGTTGGAGATCAAAAACGTGTTCAACTTTTGCATATTCATAGCACAAAAGTTTGGACTGACATCACAAAATTGCAGGTGTGTTTGTTTTCACGCCAAGTATGAACCGACCTTACATGTACATGTACATGTAAGAAGATACTGATTAATTATATGTAACCTCTTTGGTACATGTGTAAGTTTTACTTTTCCAGACATTGTTTCTTACTTTGCAGCAAATTTCCTGAACGAGTGAAACCCCTCCCCCCCCAGAGTTCCTCTGTGCATTGTGAGTAGACCCTGTGGTTCGATGTTGTGGTTTTTGTTCCTTTTCTTTCATTTTTGTTTGTTTTTGGTACTGTTTCACCTCCCTCCAGGATCCCTCGGTGCAGCAGGCTACCAGCAATTCCTCCAGAGGATTGGAGGAATTCAACCCCTTTGAAGAACGCAATACACAGGTGCTAGCTTCTTTTCTTTCTTTAAAAAAAGTAAAAATTAATTTTGTTTTCCTTTTTGGCGATGTTTCTAATGATGGATATTTATTTTGCTCAAGTGATTGTCATTGTGAATGCAGTGGGTTTTTGGGTGTAGCATGGTGAAGTGATCCCCCCAGGCTTCTGTCCCCTTTGTCTCTTTTCAGGGACTTTGACCCCATCTCCTCCCTCCTCCCATGTGGTCTTAAGTGGCTTCCATTTGAGCTCAGGTGTTCGGTCATTCACTCACACCCACAGGTGCTGGTATGCATGTAGCACACTGTCATATTGGAGCCATTTAAGTCCTTTTGGCTTTCTGCAAGGCCATTCATCATGGCCATTGTTTATCAAAATCCTCTCATGTTTAAAAGCATTTGACAAAGCTAACTACATGTACATGTAGGTCATACAATTCAAAAGGCTTAGCCGGTGTTAGAAATACATATCTGGAAATAAGTAATTTTGAAATTCTGAATATTTCCTTACTACACTGACTTTGCTGGCACCTAGCGGGCAAGGTATCATAAATGTGCATTCATTAGAGATTCATTCAGGCAGTTACATTAGAGCCATTACAGAGCACGCTCTCTTCGATGCCCAGTTCAGCGTTATAAATTTACTGAATCTGATTTGAGCTTTTTTAGAATCCTTACTCCAGTGTCATTGCCTGGAATAGAAATTGTAGTTTTGACACCCCAAAATTAATTGAAATCAATAATTCCCAGCATAACTTACATGTACATGCACAAAATTCCATTACCCTGTTCTTACAATGGCTACATCCATGAAATTCCTCTGTGGATGTTGGAATCTATTTAGGTTTTTTTTATCTTGAGAAGCAAAAGGAAGCTCAAGCACGGAACAAATTAAATTGTCCAGTGTAGCACGGTGCACACGTATACTCGGTGCCCGTGGGGGCTACCGCCATTGTTGCTGGTAATCTCAGACCCCTGCCACTCTGAGGCCCTGTCCCCCCAAAAATTAATCACTGCCGCATTAATATGTGCAATTTGAAAAGTGGAAGTATGCCATCTCATTACTGAGCTCATTAGCATTAGTATTCATAATTTATATGTGGGAAAAACCAGCTTGTTTGAGGAAATGGGAGTGAAAATAATCAATACCAGTTGCACCGTTTTATTTCTGCCGTCATATTTTGGCTGTTATAATTTTATGAATCCTGCTTAATAATGAGCTTGGTAACAGAATAAAGCATTACCTTTTTGGCATTGAATTACCTGTTAAACATGGTCCAGACTAGATACATGTACATGTAAAATCCTGAATAAACATGAATAACATTGTCCATAAATTACAAAAATTATATCGTTCCATGTCAGGGAGAGAAACATGTCATCACCAGCTTTGCCGCATATCAGTCAATAGCATATCAGACTGATGCATTTTGTGGAAAGATCCCTATACATTGAACATGCTTGCTGTTTTATGACAGGCATTGTATTTTTACATAGCGGTGTTTCCTGTCAGAACACCTTCTTTATATCAAGAGAAACAATTAAATCTACTGGAAAAGAGCCAGCTCTCCCCCTCCCACTTTTTATGTATCCATTTGGGTGGTGCAACAGAGCCAAGGAATCTTGCTATTGCATTTTATGGTTGACCGGTTCAGAATTGTAATACTTCCCCTCAATAAGCAATCCACAAAGTTGGTGGGAATTTGTAATGAAATGACTGTAATTAAAGAAGTGACACAGTTAGAGAGTGCTTGATGAAGCTGTGTATTGAAATGCAATCTGATAAAATGCCTGTACGCAGCTTGGAGCAAATTCGGTGCTGGTGGGATCAGCAAGGGAAAGCTGGAGGCTTTCTTTGCAATAAATAATTTTTAAAATGCACTCTTTCATTGTTCCATAAGGTCTTACATTAACATGTACAGGTATACACATGTATGATGCCAATGTACTAAGTCATCTGTACTATAGCATGAACTCTACAAACCTGAATACTTCCTGATAAGGACGTGTTCCACTCTAACTGAAAGAACTAGAATTAGACCAAGAAACTGAAGCTGACTTAAAATGGAAACTCGCTCGCTGCAGTCCATACGTAATGACTTCTACTTTCATTTACTGATCTTGCAGCCTGTCTTCCATGTATATATTAAGTAAACTTTCCTTTTTTTCTCCCGACCCCTTCCACCATCCTGTCATTCCTTTCCAGACAACCAATTCCAAGACGACCCCTATTGTAGACCCTCCCACTCAGCCAGCTGTCATGAAGCCTACGATGGACCAATCACCGCCTGCGTACACTGTGTCTGCTGCGCAACCGGTGGGCAAAGTTCCGGTCTTGTATAAAGATACTTGCTTCTCTGTATGCCTGGGTGAAGGAGCTTCGCTTTTGTGGCCACACTCAGTAACAGTTTGGGTTATTAGTGGTTGAGCATTTAAGTGGGTCATCTTTCTTGTGAACAGCTTTTGGACAGGGTCCTGCTCATTGTTACGATGTTGGAGACATTTTTGGTTCCATGAATGCACCGAGCATTCGCCTGTCCCCTCTGATGCTCGAAATTGTTTGATGAACAAAGTCAGTGGAATCTTTTTTCTGTTCCTAGAAATTTTTTACATTTTGAATTTTAGTACTCGGAGTCCTCACCAGCCAACTCATGGACAGTTTGAGGCTGGGACCGCATCTTGTTGTGTGCACGGCAGAACAACATTAGGGCCATTTTTTTTGTCACACAACAGTGCAGTAGATCACCTAACTCTGCCCTTAGGGCAAGCAGGGGACGATCTCTCATCCTGATTTGCATACTACTCGTATGTGACTTCAGAGTGCTACTTTCTTTAAACAGACCGCTCCCCCAGGCCAGGAAGACATCCTGAAGCGACAGGAGGAACTGGAGAGGAAAGCAGCTGAGCTGCAGAGGCGGGAACAGCAAATGCATGCCACACAGTACAATAGTAAGTAACCTCTGGAAGCCTGTACTAGGTTTGCTGATGTATAAACCACTACACAGTACAATAGGAAGTAGCAATTGGTGCATTGCGGCTTGACAAATACAGGTAACATGCATCAATGGTCACCCAGTATTCTGCACTCTACAGAGTACTGAAGTGAATACATCACACACACAGTTTTGTGAGTAGAAGGCATTACCAAGAGAACTAGCGTGTGAACCAACGTACGCACATCCTCCATTCTTTTGCAGTACACTTCCTTGTTCAAGATGATGTCACTCTTTGGTGTTCTATAGCCTGGCATTTTCATCTGCTTCTTAGTTCAGTGATTAGTAACCCCTGGTACTCTGTAGCCTGATATGCCAACTGGTGCCCAAGTAAGAAGTGACTGGGCTCTGTAGAGTAACATATTAAATATTGCTAAGAAGAATAGTAAGTTATTGGTACTCTGTAGACTGATTTATCAACTTCCACATACTGCAGTAGAATACCCTCGGAACTCTGTAGCCTGGCATACCATCTGCTTTCATTCATTGCCGTGTTAAGTTTTGACTTTTGCCCATAATTATTGAAGAAAGCCTGACAGGCCTGATTTACAGGGAAGCCATTTTGATTGTGTTCCCTCAATCTTGATTGTGTTCAACATAATCTAGTAATTTGGGTGGTGCCAGATTATTTTGGGTTCGAAACCTCACTCTCGATTTAAAAAAAAATGTTCCTTAAAAGATTTAGATTCAATTTTTCACAAAATAAATCTGGCGTTAATTTGTAATGAATTTTTATTTCGTTTGCTGTTATTTTTACTCTCAGGTTCCAAAACTGAAAAGTTAACCTCATTTTCAATTTAAAATGGCCGACACACAAATACAATCTATTGGCTCCATTGAGTACCCCGTTATACATGTAGTTTACAGACAACACTGGACTGTCACTTGATTTATCATTTTTCAGGGACAGAAACTGCAAGAAACCACACATATTCCCTGGCTCATTGTACTCTAGTTTTTGTATTTGTCTTGTTTGTATTTCAGCCCGGGTCAATAACTGGCCACCGGTGCCCAGTTTCTGCCCTGTAAAGCCGTGCTTTTACCAAGACTTTTCTGTGGATATCCCACTGGAGTTCCAGCGCACAGTCAAAATTGGCTATTTTATTTGGATCAGTAAGTTCATTTTTGGTCATTTTCTTTTAACCTGTTTGCCGTTTGGTTTGTGTTTTATTAAGTCACAGAGGGTAAACAGGCCTCCAGAAATTTCCTTCTGTGACAGTGGGAACCACTATGTCTAGGTTGCTGCAATAATTAAAAGTATGACGTTTACGTTTACCATACTGGAGGACATTTGTTCACATCAATTCTCAGCTCGTCTCTGTTCACCTGAATCACTTAAAGTTAAAAGAAAGATTCGTTAGTAAGAATGGGAGCTTGTTCTTGCAATGGTCGTTGTTGGTACTAATTTAAAGTGTCTTTTCTAAGGCACCAAAGTACACATTCTTTGGTGTTGCTGTTTTATACCATGATTCAAGTTACGCAACTGCATACAGAGGGACTATGTTTGTGCGTTTCTTTCCACAGTTCTTTACTGAGAGATCCCTCAATATTCATATATTCATATATTCTAATTTGAGTTTGATTTCTTTTTACCAGTGTACATGACGTGTTTATTCCTCAATGCTATTTGTTGCATGGCCCAATTGTGTATGGGGTGGGGCATAAACCGTGCCATTTGCTTCGGTTTGTCGATGGTCTTCTTTCCCGGGTTCTCCGCCTTGGCCTTCCTGTGTTGGTACAGACCTCTGTATAAAGCATTCAGGTAGGGTACCAGGACACTCTGTTGGTGCTGCATCATTAGAAGCTGAAGCAGACATCGTGTGCAACCACACACCAGCCTTGCATCTCATCTCCATTTTGGTTATTATTGATATATATCCAATTGCTTTTTTGCTTTTAGCTGTGACCATTTTTGTCAGAAGTTTGTCACTGTTCACAAAGGGCTAAACTTCGAGGGAACGGTTGCTTTGTATTGCAGCATGCATTAGCATTGCTGTCCAGCTCATTGTCAAATTTGGTTCACTCTTGAAATTACATCAGCTCAGGAGTCGCTCAGCTGATCTTACTGCGAGCACCAGAAAAGTTGTCTTAATGTGCAGCGCAAGTGTGGACAGCAAGGGTGTGCGACAGCCTAAATGTTGTAGTTTGCAGGAATGCATCTAAATCCGATGATTCTTGTACATCGGTATCGGCCTGCCACAGAGGGACAAGCATGCCACAAAAGACACAACATCCTTGCCGTCTAATTCACCATGCCTGGGTCTTTGTGGAAACAGTGATAAACACAGTTGGCACACAGCACTTTCTGGATTGAAAAGACACATGCTTCAGGCTAACTTCTCTTGGTTCCAAAATACACCCTCAAAACTCTTCACAAGTTGGCAAATTTTGTAATGGACTGATCCAGTAAGTCCCGCCCACTTTGTATGTGGGCACTTAGCACATGTTCTTTTCCAATGCCGCACTATGTGATCCAGCCGAACACATCATATGCGTGTGCATACATACTGGACTTTTGTGAACTCGTGTGGCGCGAGGCTTAATGGATCGTTCTAATAAAGTATGTGCGCTTGTTTTACTGCTTTTTTAGATCCAGTTACAGATATTTGACTAACCCTTGATACAAAAAACCTCTTGAATTTTGGATTTTTATACGGCACAACCTTCTCAGCTTAATATATCCTGAAAACAAGGTTTTAGCCTTTGATACCAATAAAATTATCAGAACTTTTTATGGGGTGATTATTTGGGAGCCATAAGACCTTATCTGCAAGGAGAAGGACTTTAAGGCTGTGCATTCTTTATAATCCAGCCATTGCTTCAGTCAGCTATATTTCCTAATCACTGTCATTCATCCCAACCAGAAGGAGGATCTGTCCGTCAATCCTCACGATTCTTCTTGCCAAGATTGAATGTGATGGGAGTTGTTGTAACTTTCTTTCCAAGCTGAGCAAGGGGAAATAGAGGTCATTAAGGGTTAGGAAATTTTGGGGAACTGTTGTCAATGTTTTCAAGACTCGGGTGTGCATTTGAAGATTTTCCGCATGCATCACAAATCCAGAAACTTCTCAATTTCTTCGTGGTATTTTTTTGCATATTGATCTCCACTTTGATTGCACGTGTTAACCCCTTCACTCCAAGAACCGTCAATGGCCGCGGCTTTGAGGATTAGTGCATACCACACATACATTCTATTCATCATGCACCTGCGGTTTCAATGTGAGCCAGCTGCTGGACAGGCTACTCGGCATACCGTAACCCAGAATCCGGGCGTTAAGGGGTTAAAAAAAACTAACCAATGAGATGTGTGCATGCTGTAAGAGAGGGCACCCTGGACAATGACATCATACTTTATTTTAGTGGATGATGGCTACCTGCCTTCTGTATTATCAATCCGTCAGGGCACTGGTCTGTGGAGACCCCATGCTATCCATAGGGCCCATACGTCTGAACATTACATAACAGACGGCTTCTTTGTATTGATGCTTTTATCCCACACATAGTCTACACGTTCATGCTGTTGCTCAACATCATCGTCACCCTGTCTTACTTTATCTCCGGAGTGGGCTCGTCGGCCGCTCTGTGCTTCGGCCTCTCAGTGCTCTTCATGGTCTGTATGCCACCTTGCTCATTTGTCTGCTGGTACAGGCCAATGTACAAAGCCTTCAGGTGAGGCCAACGGAGGCCATTGTGCCCATTTGAGAATCATGCCCATCTGAGCAGAGTGCACATCTCAGGATCCCACCTCAGAAACCAGCATCTCCATGGAGTCACATCATCTGACGACCACATTCATCTTCATATGATTTTATAACAATGACCTGTATTTCTGAATCTTTTTCAATGTATAATTTTCTCAGTGTATGTCATTCCACTTCTGTTTGAGGAACCTATTTCTTAGCTCTGACATGTTAAGGCACCGTGAATACCAAGACATCTTCATCCACAACAAAATAAGCAGGAAAAATGTACTGGAAAGGTGATGTTCTGAAGTGCAGCTCAAAGTCTCTCTTTTATTAAATGGAAAATTTCGCAGCAAGATTAGTTTCATTTCTTAGGGTAAGAAGCCAAGAAATGTCTAACAATTTTGCAGGTGTCATATCAACCACCTTCAGGGTTTCCATTTTCAAGGACGGATTTTCTGGATCTGTGGAATATTTTGCAGAGTCCATCAGTGTCCAGAATTTAAGGGTGGGGCATGTCTCTGAAAAGCGGAGGGGTATCTGGACACTTGTAATGTGTGGAATATTGCGTTGATTGCAATTGATTTTCTTTGCATATGCACCAATAGATACACTGGAACTAAAAGCAATTAAATTCCAATCCCTCAAGCTTTACCTTTCTTGGCAACTGTAGCTGATCATTTATATCAGCCCAGTCCTTAGTTGACCTAATGATTTATGATTGATTTAGGACTTAAGTGTACGATTTCAAGTGTTATAAATCATACCTGCTGTACAACTTTCCAGTATTTGATCTTGTCCAGGAAGTGACAGGAATGTGCACTCTGTGTGGGTCCAAAATATTCGAAATAATCTTGAAAGGCCTTTACATGCTATGTGGCTTGATTCCTTCTGAGCACCTGTTGATGTCATTAGTGTCCAATTAGGACAAAACATCATTTACAAAAATGCAAATTGATGCTGATCATGTCCAATGGCCTACAGCGAGTTAACCATTTCCTGCCGGGAGCTTTGAAAAATGCAGTGCCTATATACAGGTGATTTCAAGATTTTCTGATTTCAAAATTCTTCAAAAATTCAGGATTTCATTTAATGGACATTTACACCCACACAAATGACTGTCTGGTGGCTACTCTAATCTGACTGGCATTGACGTCTGAGTATTTGAGCTAAGCCTGCCACCCAGTAAAGAGAGCCCAGAATTGTGAGGTGTTGCATAATTTCCTTTGGTTCCAGTGAATGCCAGTCTTTTCAGTCTTGGCTGGATTAGCGTGTTGTGGTACTGTATTGCTGATTGATGGGGCGGCAGGGCACTTGTGTCCATGGTGCTAATCTGTAGGCGCGCTATGCCGAAATCAGTGGTATACTGTTTCAAAACAGTGACGGATTCCCTCCGATAAATGCAAGCTGAAAAATGATTGCAATTCCCAACAGCGGGCCTTTTGTTCCGAGTACGGTCTTTTGTTACAAGGCCCAGCTCTTTTGTCCGATTTCGGGCACCCCGGCTATGCGTACAAACCCAAGGTACCCGAAACCGGGTTCCTCGGCAGCATATGGTTAAAGTAGGTCTCTTGCAATTGTCCAAAAGTTTAATATCAACCTCATCCCAGACTCATCTCTCACACCACACCCGAACTCACTATCACTGGTTCCCCCGTTTCCTCGATTCACTTACAGTCTATGTAGCGTTGCTGATTCTCAACGTCATTGTATCACTTGCATACTTCATCGGTGGCAACACTGGCGCTAAAGGCATCACATTTGGTGTGTCCATTCTCTTCCTAGTCCTCTGGACACCGCTGTCCTTCATCTGCTGGTACCGGCCTATGTACAAGGCCTTCAGGTAATTGTAGGCACAGCCATAGTCAGCTTGCAATGGGCACGCATCCAGCGGCTACAAACTCCATGCTCATGGCATAAAACTTCCATCTCATATCAACATTTGCAGCCACTTTGCACACAAGTTCCGTTTGACACTGTTCACATAATTTTTGAAAGAAACTTTACCAGGCTTATAATTTTCTTGGCCTGTATGAACTCGGGGATAAGTGCTTTCTTGCCTTTTACAAGTATCAAAATTAATGAAACTTATTCCACACCTGCAAATCTTGCCATTGTGCCCATAATTGTCCGCAAACTGCAAACTTTGATGTCTTTTTTCTTTTGAGAATGCTAGTTTTCTTGCCAGTAGGGATCTAGAGATTTTCAGAAATCATCAAAGCTGCAGGCCTTGAACTTATTCTCTGATGGTGAACTGAAGTTGAGAGAGTTTAAGTCATATGCACTAACTACTTGTATTCTTTCATTTTGAAACAAGCAAGACTTCCTGAAATATGTGTACAATGCTAAGTAGTTAATCATTTTGATGTCAAATCATCAATAGAATCATTTTGATCTAATTCTTTTAATTGGTCTAATTTTCTGCCTTTTTGCAGGAGTGACAGTTCATTCAATTTCTTCCTGTTCTTTTTCATCTTCGCCGCTCAATTCCTCTGCACAATAGTGCAAGCAATAGGAGTAGACGAGTGGGGATCCAGGTAGGATGTTCGATTGGTTCACGTTTGGTTTTACAGACCTTTTTTTCTGTACAGTTACAACTGTTCCATCTAGGGCGGCAAGTATTATTCAGTAACTTGATTAAATGATCCATGTGTCCATTACAGTATTTTGGGTGAGATTTTTCCATTTGATGATTCAAAACCATTTCATTGTGACCATGGAGGAAGGACACAGAAGAAGTTTGAACTGCCCGGGCTATAACATCCGGCCGATTACCACTTTCTGGCATGTCCGGTATGTCCATAGCCAGAGCGCAGCGCATGCTTGCTACGCACCACCTGTTTTGCAACCATAAGCTCCCTTTGTACCCCATGATCATCGCCGCAATTTTTCGTTGGTAATCTGCATCCCTAAAACGTTGTGTACTGTAGTATAGGGTGTTGAATATTCATGCCATTGTTAATGTTTGATATGATCTGACAACATCAAATTTAGTGCTTGTGCAGTTCCCTTTATTAGGCTGTGTACCCGAAGTGTTCATGTGCAGTTGTTGCCCTTATTGAACGCTTTCTTCTGGACTTCTTTTGGGAATAAATAGCCATGCTGTTTGTAAGATTTTGAGTTTTATTTGAGTCATTTTTATTATGGAATTTATACAGAAAGGTATTTTATGAGATCTCATGATCACTCCCTGTGATGAAACAGCGCATTTTGTTTGTTGTGAACTTAACTGTCCTGTGGTGTTCAACATGTTGTTGGCTAGTCTTAGCCAAAGTTGTACAAAGATTTTGAAAACTGATTTTTTTGAGTGACAAAATAAAATTACAAACATATGCATGGATAATGGAAAAGGGCATCAAAATCCTTAAAAAAGTTTTCACAACGACAAAAGTAAATCTAATGTTGAATATTTTTTCTGTCTGTTTCCTGGTCACTGCGATAGGTTGTAGTTAATTCCAAAGAAAACACCACAAATATTGTTACGATATTACTGGCCCCACTTGTCAAGCTAAGTTGCAAGCAGTAATCAGGCATTTTTGCAATGTGTACTATTGTTCGTGTGACCAGGCGGCGATGATCATCGAGCACTTTGATGTGCCAGAGTTGTAACTCCTTCTGAGTCCTTCCTCCCTTTGGTGACATTTCTTCAGAAGGCACAAGAGTGACCAAAGACCTTTCCCAAAATCTCCAATTTTTCATGGGGCCCTCGTTACCAAAGATTAACGAAAAGCTTTCATACTAGAGTGAATGGGGGAGGGGTTTACTAGACCACAATTTCCCTTTAAGGGCAGTATTATTGTTGATCCTGGCTGATGTAATATTCAGCTGTCCTCATTCGTGCCCGGTAGCATCTTAGAGAAGCAATTATGGTGGAGTGTCTTGCTTGAGGACGTTTCACAAATTCATTATAACTTGACCGCAGTGGTCTTCACTAGGATAAAGACTATTCACCCAAAAGTCTGTAAGTTGAAATGGCTCTTTGCATGTTACAAACAGGGAGTAATACTCGATTGCCGCCATAGTTTGGAATTTGGGTAAGTCCTAGTGAGTCTGGGTCCCAACATACCTGGTGACAATGAAGAGGGGGCATTTTTTGTCTACACCAAAAAAGAGGAAAAGAAACTCCCATTTTTGTTTTTAAACAAATGTGGGATCAGCCCTGACATCTGATGAGAACAAGCTTTCAAACTCGGCTAGCATCCAATCTACAATCTGTATGTACAAATTTTAAATCACCTATAATTTGTTTTGATGACGGATAGCGGATTTTTAAATGGCATATCGATGATATCGGGGACGAGTGATCAAACAGCCAACGCCTCAATGAAGACAGTCGGTGCCATGATGATCATCATGGGATGCCTTTGGGTTTTCTTGGCCGTGGCCATAGCTTGGTACCTCAAAAAGGTAACAGTTTCACTGCCGAATCCCTTCTAGGGACAGTCATCAGTATGCCAGCACATTGAGTTTTTCAGCCCATCAGCTATTTGCCTTCAACACCGCCGGCTGCTTTGCAAGCAAACACTCCCACTACAGTTTTGTCACCCATCATGGCTGCGTTGATGCCACATCCCTGTTTTGAATTGGGTACCTTGCTATCTGATTCTATGACATCAACATGTCCAAAAAGTCAATGAGAGTGGGAAATTTGCGTAGTTGAGGAGGGGAATTGGTAATTTTCTAACCCAAGGGCACAGTGTTGCATATTTATCATTATGTAACACTAACACCCGTTTCAGACTGAAGTTCCAGAGTTGTGCCGAACCAAATTAAAAGCAAAAACTTTGAATTGAGTACTGGAAAAGTTCAACGTCTGAAACAATTATGAGCGACAAGGCATGCTAACAGGCGAAAGATGGACACTTGAAGGCACTCAGAACAACGCCAGAGTGACTTGGTTTCAGACGTTGCTCTTTCATTGGCCGAATCCAATGTAAATGTATGTATTAAGTTCGTCGGTTTGAAACCAAAATTTAATTGGATCGTTCTATTTGATTCGGGGCGACCCTAGAGCACCTGTCTGAAATGAGTGTTACATGGTTTTCTTTTGTTCTCTTTCTGACATCTGTCTTAGCTATTGTTTTCAGGTACTACTCTCTTCCCTCCAAACATTTGTAAAATTTTGTTTTCCTTGTTTTGTGATCGATGCAAAGAAAGGCTAAGTTAATACGATCCGTTTTCACCCAGCCTAACACCAGAGGGCTGCATATACTTCTCATTTCCCATGATCTACACTCCTTGACAGGTTGATATCCTTTTGCCTAGTGGCTCACACTGACCAGCCAGTATTCATATATTCAAATATTCATATTTATATATGCGCACCGATTGCTTCCATTCATGCAAGGCTTTCCTTTCTTCCCCTCTGAGGAAGAAAGCACTTTGGTCATTGATGTCGTTGAGGGCCAAAGTGCAAGGACACAATTCATACTGTAGATGTTGGCCCTTTGTAGAATGAATTAAGTGTTTGAAGCTTGAGAAATACAGAACAAAAGTAGCATTCTTACGTAGTGTGTGTTGACAACCTGTGCGGCGCGGTCGAGCAACTTGGGTATGCCCTTAATCTTTAAGAGCCGGTGCAGGATTATGACAAGGAGGCCATATTGATATTTGCATTGTTGACTCAAGCTAAAATTTTGAGTGTACCACCAAATGTCACCTTCCCTCCCACCCCAAAAAAGAGAGCTGTGTTTAGGTTTGTCACTGGTTTAAATGCATATAAGTGAAAAAAATGTAGAAAACATCCGAGCTTCAATTAGAGCACCGTCAGCATGGGTAAGTCAACAGACCAGACTTCAAGGCATCTATTTTGTCCTGTTTCCCACAGTGAATCTGCTGTGAGCAATTCATGCTGGTGAAAGTCGCCAGCCTGTGCTTCCCTGTGAACCAGGCAAGCTCCAAATAACGACAGAAATAGCTGCCATTCACTGGTAGACTCTCAACCCACCAATTCGTTCATGTCATCCATGGCTTCATTTATATTTTTTGGCGGCTTTTTTTTCTTCTCCACTCTGCCATCCCTTGTAGTGGTTGGATTAACGGCTTAACAGTCATTGGAGCGGCCGAAACACCAGGAGAAAAAGCCGTGGGTGCCATGATGCTGATCATGGCCTTTCTCTTCACGCTACTTGCCGTCTGCATGCTCCTTTATATAAAAAAGGTTCATGTTCTTATCATTTGCATCCTTGACAAAAACATTTATTTCTTTTACCTTCAGTTGCCACTGGAAACAATGTTGACGTTCAGAGGCAGTGTCATTTTGGAATCTTGGGGGTTTATTTTAAAACCGGTACATGTATGAGTGATAACAAACTTCCACGTGATGAGAAATTTTAACGTTAGTTTCCTGTGGGACTTTTCACACCCACATGTACAGCAGACATTTTGCGTGAAAGTGCAGTAAACTGCTGTGGTTAGAAACATAAGCATTCTTTCCAAAGACGCGTACCGCTCTGAGACATCACATACTTGCCAGTCAGCAGTTTGTTACGCATGACTGGCAGCACTGAGCAATTCCTTACCAGATCCTTCACCCTTCCTGCCCGGGCCTCGTTGTCATGTTGCCTTGGGCGTCAATGTAAAATAATCGCCCTGCACAGCTCCATCCATCATCACATGCAGCTACCACTCTTTCTCTGTACCAGCTAAAGTTTTGGAGGCAGGATGCACTGAAAATGAACAACAAATGAGCACTGCATGCCAGCCGTGGAAGAGATCCCTCATGCTGTTACCACTTTGCATTTATGGGCGGGCGGGGTGTTAAAAAAAACACGAACATTTTTCTCAAGTGTTGCACGATTAGTAGCATACAGTGAATAAATATATACAAGTTTTTGACCCTTTTCCAAAGTAATTTTGACAAGTCTGGATGTGCTTTTCTATCCAAGACCATGGAAGATGTACAAATGAACGCCAGTTTAGGGATACTAATACCATTGATCTGCTAAATTACATTGGGAAAAGGGGCATAGTTGCCTAGGATTAATATTAACTGTATTCTAAAATGAAGAGCTGCCATAACTGCGGTAGTACCACACAGACTCGCATGCCATGTCACATTCCTAAACTCGAGGTGCCCGTACTTTGACAAGTCATGACACCCTCGCTATCAAAGAGGCATGCAGTGCCTGCTGAGGACCTGTGGGTAAGTGTGGTGCAACCCCAGTAATGGTGTTTACTTCCATGTGTGCCATATCTCAACAGGTTTCTTTTTTTTTCACCATGCCCGTATGCAGGTACACAGCTTGTACCGCCAGACGGGCGCCAGCTTTCAGAAGGCCCAGCAGGAATTCGCTCAGGGGGTGGCAACCAACCCCACTGTTCAGACAGCAGCTAAGGACGCCGGCCGGGCAGCGGCAGCTGGTGCTGCAGACGCGGCAGTCAGCGGCGCCATGAGCTCGGTGTCGTCGCAGAACAACAGGATGTAAAACGGCCACACCGGCAGGCTTCCTGGCTACGATGGAAACCCGGACAAGTCCCTCCGATTACTGTCAAGGGGGGAAAAGTAAAGTCTGAATCGAGTTTGCTGCTAGGGCAAGCTTCCAACTTACCACCCGACTCGGTTTTGGAGGATTGAAAAATTGTTTTTAAAATGGAAGATTAATCAGCCACAGCACTGAGGAATTGTCTTTATTTGGAAGTACCAATCAGTTGTGATTAAACAAGACTGAAAACAAGGATCAATCATTTTGGCCCCACATCACGCACCAACTCATCCTCCAAAAGCAGGCATTATGTAAGATGTGTTTTGCCTGTCAAGTCATGAGTAGAGTTTGCAGTATCAGCATGTCCAATCAATGTATTCCTTGAAAGTAGCCTGGAGGTTCTGCCAATGGTCATTTGTTAGTCTTTGTACAAACAGCCATATGGTTGCACTTGTGACAGTCACATGATTGTCCGTGTAATGATCATGTGACAAGCTGCAAACTGTATTATTATGTGTCCAGTTTGTGTAAACACCAGCAGAAAGACTGCAGAATCAAGCACTCTTTCTTTGTAAATGCAATGATTTGTTTCAAATGAGATTGCCACAAGAAGTCCTGTTATCCCCTGCGAATAAGAAACAGCAGTTTCAACCCTTTCTTTTCTCTCAAAAGAATGGTAGCAAAGTTTTGTTTAGTAGACGGCCAAAATGATGTTTAACAAATATAGCTTTTGTTTGGCAACTTGAGTAAATAGGTTTGATGGGGTCATGCGTAAGAGAATGTAAAATTGGCAGTACTAAGATGTCCCACCCTGATGTGATTGTAGGTTTCTAGTTGTGGGGGCTGGGGGTGTTTGACAGGAGTCCCGGTGGAACTTGTATCCAAGGGCGTAGCCACTCTAAAGATGGAAGCACCTGCACCGTGGAAGGGGCACATTAAGATTTCAACTGATCATAAGCATTGACAGTACAATACATCACGAGTGTGATGTGCCTTCAGGCAATCATATATGGTCCGTGCTTTAAACAAGCAAAACAGCTCACATATGAATCGGTGAAAGCGGACCTCAAAGCTGTGGGCCCCTCTCTCCTTACTCCACCCATGTAGTCGGGACAGACTGCCAGTTGCAGCATTTTGAGGAATCGTTGAGTGTTTGGAAGGAAAGCGGAGAGTAAAGTATTCACATGCCTAATGGTGCAGCAAAGGTTGGATGGCCATAACAAGCAACGCGATACTGTAATTTCAGTTGTCCACAATGGTCTTTAGTCCACTCTATCAAAATGGACATAGCATCACTCAGACCACTCAAACGATGCCTATCAAAGACTCACCGTGAGTGTAGCCTAAGACCCCTACAGTCTCAATTTTATCTCTCCTCTGCACTTATGCACATAAAGATTCTATTACCTTTATTTGTATTTCTTTCAATAACCTAACCTACGTCAGTACCAGTTCAATGCAGCTAACCAGCATAAAAGCTTCACAGTTGCCCAGATAAATAAGTTACCGTGTGATGCTTGCAAAATAGGAGTAGACAAGCGTATTCATGAAAGGATATCAGCGTGTATATAGGAAGGGAAATTGATACATTCACGGGGGATGTGGTATGGTCAACTAATGAGTCTTGAAAGTGAATCGGGCTTCGTCCGAATGTCAAGGCTGGGGCTGCCAAGTAACACCGGTGCCTTTGGAAGTTTCCTGTTACCCACAGCCGCTGCCGGTTACTTCATACACGGCCTCTCGCCTTTAATGGTATATATACATGATACTGTGAAAAACTGGTCTTTCTTTGTCTGATGTAAATCCCAGGGCCGTGCCGCCCGAGAAAAAAACTCCAAGCATGATAGCCCAACCTTGAGATAGTAACTGTAGGGAGTATCTAGAAGGGTATAAAACTAAACACCTTTACATTTTGTTACATTCCATTATCAGTCTCTGTATAGTTGTTTAAAGATTGTTTTAAAACTACGATTCTTACAAAATGTAATCAGCCGTTCATTTTCTGGCATTGTTTACTTACAGCACGTACTAGCACACTGGACTGTGACAACACATTCTGGGACTTGGCCTATGTGTTTCGGTACCTTTTCCATGACGACACCTCATGGATGATGGAGTACCTTGTATTAAGAGTAAAGGAAACATTTGGGCCAGCAAGTAAAAGCTGAGCATTCGATTTAACGCGTCTGCCTTCAAAATCAAAGACAGCCTGCCTAAAAGTGTTGCCGCTGCATTTAGAAAGGAAACCGTATTGCTGTAGAATTCAAGCTTGAATTGCCAAGGCAGTCAGCCCATTAATTCACGTGTGCCACAGTGTTTCAGAGTGTAACATGCTAGCATTTGTGTCGGAGACCAAAATGGAGAAAGGGAATCCGAAAACCAGAAACTTCTCGCCTTTCGTCCCCACTGCTTAATAGCTGGAGACATTGTCATTCGGCGTCATCGTGCTTTTTTAGGCAGAGTTTCGCATGTACATAACTTGCAAGTTGCCATCCGAACACCTGTCTCTGGACTGTGCTCCTGCGTGGCTAAAGGAGAAGTGCAAAAGCCCATTGTAAGAAACCACGCATTTCAAAGGTCTGCAAGTAGCTTGCAACAAGAGCAATAACGAATCTTCTTTAATGCCACCTTCTTTTTTTACTAAAATGTGCACGACATTAAGATAATTTGGGGGAAGTCTTGGGAAATTGCAATCAGTTTGTATATGTGTAATTTGATTGTTCACAGTAAACATTGGTGTAGATTTTTACTCAATCGTAAGAAATTCAGACGCATAAGGTCAAACATTTCACTTCACGTTGTACACGTAAGATAGCAAACTTCATTTAATTCAGTCTCGGTTATTTTAAAGAATACTTGTCCATTAGAGATTATGGAAAAAATGTACTGTATCACTGAGGAAGTGACAAAAATGTACGCAGTAGGTATTCAGATCGTTGGTACTAGGAAGCAGTGGTCGTCAAGTGTAGGCGTACATGTAAATCCTTTCGTCATCTTGGTGGTATCATTTTTCGATTCTTTTCTATTCTTGAGGCTCTTTTTTTCGTTCTTAAGGAAGGTGTGAACTGATTCTGAAAATGTCACTCGAATTTCGGGCGCGCAAGTTGCTTTTACGTTGATTTGTTCCGGGAATTATATTGTAAGTTGTGATTTATTTATCCTTTGTCGGAATTCCACACGAACGATTTTTGCGTTTGTGCACCTGATCTAACTATCTGAATGTAATAGAAACACTTGTATCAATCTGCTGTAATATACACGTGGCTGAAAACTGTGAGATGAATTTAAATGTTGTACATGTATACATAACAATGATGTACCCTGTCTATAGCTGACGTCGATGATACATACACATATTTACACCCTTAATGTGGCGTTTGATTCCACAGTGTAGAGTATATTAAAGCAACCCTGGGTTCGGTAAATAAAGTTCATTGTTTTGAATTTAGCGAAGTTTTTCCTTCTGGTAAAGACCCGAGATTTATGAGATCTGGCCTGTGGCAGGTTTGTTTGGAATTCGAACAACACAGTTCCTGTATCGTTCCTCGCCTTGTGATTTCGGAGGTTTGTTGGAAATCCACATCGTTTCTAATGGCAAGAGAGAGGTGGACTGGTTTCCACAGCAGATCCATTGTACCATCCGCTATGACTAGGCGTGTGGAGAAGAGAGGGGTTAGTCGGAACAGTTTGACGAAATTTTGTTGCGACACGCTGGCGTAATTAGATCGTGGTCTGGAGGATTGTTTTTCCAAAGGGAAATCTGACAATTCAACAGAAGAAATCTCCACGATGTGTGAAGACTAGTCTCCTCTCAAGACTGGCATTAAAACCATTTCCCGTTAGAAGGTACAATCAAGGAGGTACCTCCTCGGTACAATGTACATCGTGTATCTCCAGACTGTTGTGTAGTAAAAAAAAAATGAATGACCTGCGGGTAAGCGTGCCCGGAGTTGTAATTCTGTGGTTTTCATTTCTGATAGAAGGAAGGGGACCTTTATGCCGCCTACCCTGTCTGACATTTCCTACGAGAAAAAAAAATTAAAGTGATATCCCGCACACACACTTCCCCAACTGACTCTCCCTCGAAGTTCCAAAAAACATGAGAACCCTAGAATTATAAAGCGACGATCAAAGTGTGAGTACGGTATACTTAAAGGGTAACAGAAAGTAAAAACATTTAGGCCTAGTTCACGTTAAGTATTTCATAATAATAGATATGCAACCATTTCAAAAACCACCGTAAATTTAATGTATACCACATAAATTGTGGTATACACAATAACCCCAAACGAATAATAATAAAAAAATCCTGCGTTTCCCCGCCCCCAAAATATCCTTTTTGTCCGCTCGCGCACCCAGCAGGCAAATTGGATGACGTCATCGACAGACGTACAATTTGCCACATTGGCTGGGGATCTTGTACACTTCAGGCTTGTGCAGTGGGTTGTGCCGTTCCTTGTGGGAATTCAGCAGGTTCTGCGTTTTCAGGGGGTTGTACTTAATGAACGCAAAGCCCATGGCAGGAAAGGGGAATACGATAAGTCTGCCATCATCAAGCACGCCCTCATCGAAAATCACAAGATCGACTGGAAAGCTTAACTCTTCACCAGCATTAAGCACAGGCACCCGCGCCGCATCAGAGAAGCCATCAAGATCATCAAGAACAACACTGTAACACAAGACATCGGTTTCCACTTCAGCGCCATCTGGCGTCCCATCCTCACACCTCAGTCCAATGGGTCCCCTATATGCTAGGACATTTCCAGCCTATGGGACAACACAATACCACAAGACATCGGTTTCCACTTCAGCGACATCTGGCGTCCCATCCTCACACCTCAGTCCAATGGGTCCCCTATACCCTAGGACATTTCCAGCCGATGGGACAACACAATACCCGGACAAGACATTGGTTTCCACATAAGCGATATCTGGCGTCCCATCCTCACACCTCAGTCCAATGGGTCCCCTATACCCTAGGACATTTCCAGCCGATGGGACAACACAATACCCGGA